AGTTTGTTACGATAGATGAACAATGTCAAAGTTCACGTAGACACGTCCTGCATGAGTTCTGAATGTAATTTCAAATAATATTTTGATAAATTATATACACTGATACGCACAATGAAATTACCCATAAACCTATAGATTCTGAAACAGCAATTTTGCATTTTACTAGTTAAAGGCGAATGAAAAGTGCCATGGTTTCGAATATGTGTGATTATATATTTAATATAATGACTATATATGAATATAACTTTTACGTTAATGCCATTTTTGTAACGACCATAATAGAAATTTATAATCCTAAAATATGTCATTCACTGGGATTGTTAGATTTTATCCCGCACGTGGGAGTTGCGCTCGACTCCAATCTAATTTGGTTCTCTGCGGGCACTCCGGTTTCATCCGCCAACAAACAGTGAGCGCCACGAAATAGCACAAAGTGCTCATAGTGGCGTTAAAAACCAATGAATTAATCAATCAATCAATCAAATAATGTTAATCTGAAAATTCGACCCTTATCATCTTGAAGACTGGCTTCATACAAAGACTAACTTTCAAACACAGCACTAGAAATATGGTTGAAAATATCACCATGCTCGAGAAGTGAATTAAAATATTTGTTGGCAATTTACCTTCAGCCTTAGAAACAGATTGAGTAAAAAATGAGATGAATAATAATGTTGCTTAACTAAAATGCAGATCATGCATGTACACTACACAAATAGTCATTGACTATAATGTTAGCTTGCTTAATTCTGGCACGTCTGTATTTTTTTTATTAATAGTAAATGTAGTCAAAAGAAAATAATATTTTTATCCAAATTTATATGCAATTTTGAATCTCATTTACAAAAAGAATTCGTTCCTACATTAAGGGTGTTAAACATGTTTTTTGTGTATTTATTAAATGGAATTTATATACCACAATAGCAAGAAATTCGAAAAAGACGTGAAAGGAGAGCTAGATGTTGAATGATGTTATAAATCTTCATCTTCTTACCTTTTTCTTTATCTGAAGCAAGCAAGAATACAAACATTGTGGGATTAAATAAAAGAACGAGAAAGATATCACGTGTATTAATGACGATAATGAATGTTTAATCACATTGAAGAAAAAACATTATAATGCACAAAATTAAGATCCATAAACTATGTTTGCGTAAATCCAAACCAATGAAAATTTTGACTGGGAAATCACTTTTGTGCTTTACTTTCATTCAGCACAGATATGGGTCATTTTAAAAAATGTTAAATTTTCAGTACGCTTATGATTAACTTTTGGAAACAATGGAAAATTTAGTTGTAAGTGTTTTTTAAATGAAAGTTTGTATGATTTATGAGTCTAAACATCAATAAAAAAAACTGGTTAGATTATGTTACGATTCAAATATATTTAAGTTAGATTTTTGCATAATTCATATGCATTCAGTGTCAGGGTACCAAATTTCAAATGATTTTTTGCATAATTCATATGCGTTCAGTGTCAGGGTACCAAATTTCAAATGATTTTATTATTCCCGTTTTTTTATTGCCTTGAAATCTGCAAAATTAACTATTTTAGAATGATTATGACAACTCTAACGAAAAATCACAGTTGTTTTTATTATTCTATGTAACATTTTTTCTACAAACTAAATTCAATTAGCGTACATGAAATGCATGTCTATCCTGTTACCGATACTAGATCAATCGCTAAATTGTTTCTCCCAATGAACATGGAAATATTTAGGCACAAAGCATCCTTAAAATTGGACATGGCACTTTTCTTATATAACAGTGTAGAGTTAAGAAAATTCAAGACATTTAGTGAAAACAAGTGCGAATCCTTTTATCCTGTCTATGCTGTTATCAACAAATTTATTAATAACAACAATATTATACTTGTAAAAAGTACAATTACGTGTTGGAAACCAAAATCATAGAAAAAAAAAATATCACTGCATGAAAGAAGTAGTAATTTCACAACAGCATTCATAAATATACAAATGTGTCTATCCTGTTACTGTGCATTCAGTATCAGAATAGACAATAATTATCTGAAACGTCTTCAAAAAGTAAAAAATTATTACATATTTCTTTACAAATGTAAAATGTTTGGTTATATCAACATCTTTAAGGGCATGCGATACAGTTTTGATTCAAACGGTGAATTTTTGACGAAAGTTTGACAAGCTATAATTTTTCACCTAGTAAATTCAAATATGCAATAAAAAAAATATACCTTCATGTGCTACTTTTAGAGATAAATGGGGTCGAAATTGTTGACATTTACTGGAATTTTCGGTTTCCCGGATATTTCTATCCTTTGGAAAGACATACCAATTTTTTTTGTTTTAAAAGATAAACGCAAGCGGATTTTTGCAAACACATTTCGAATATCTTCTCTACATAAGATGGCTTTGAATTTGTGTAACAATTCTTTGGAAATAATTCATTTTTATCACACTTTCCTGATCTTAGTCAAAAAATGGCATTTCTTTCTGTATATTTATCGAATTTAAAAAAAATTACATCGGTGAAATGTTTAAAAAAATTGACACAAATATATATAATCTTCACACATAATCAAGCCAAATATCATTTTTAAAAAGAGGGGTCCATGAACTCGTTTTCGAGTTATTAAGGATGTTCGCTACTCTGTTTCAAAATAACAAGCTTTTTTAAAGACTGTTATAAATTGATGGTATATAAATAAAGGAGCTGAAAAAGCAGAAAAAATGTAGGGTCCGTGTGCTTGTTTTAGAGATATAAGCCATTGAAACTAGTTTTGGCGGGAAATAATTCTCTCTAGACTTTTCTTACATTTAACATTGGCATCCTTTTTCTTTCAAAAATTATGAAAAAATAACAAGGATTTTATAGGATTTTCAAATATGGCTTTTTAAACTATTAGTAATAAAATTATAAAAAGAAAAATAGGGGATAGCGGGGAAATTTTTTTAATAGGAAAATGGCTCTGAAAATAAAAATAATTATAAATTTCCTTCAATTGCCCGAGTTTTACTAAAATGGTTAATATCTATAATAAAGTGTTTGATGTTCAATAAACGGAAAACATAAGGAAGGGTGTACTTTCTTTATAGCTTGAGAATAGTACATGTATTGAGCTTGTCTGGTTGTGTTTTATAGAAAAACAGGCACTAACATTGAAATATGAACTCCTTTGCCTATTTCATAGAAGGTCTAATTAAACTAAAGATGATGAACTATTCCTTCTTTTACGTTTCTTTTTTAACCTAAACTTATAGTCATTTCGGAGTCTTTTAAAGCTTGCTATGCGGTATGGGTTTTGCTCATTGTTGAAGACCGTATGGTGACCTTCTACGTCACTATCGAAATTTTCGGAGCACTTTCAGGCCTAAAGCTTAATCGAAATAAAACAGAGGGGATATGGCTCTAAAATATACCGGTATATGTAGGACTCGGAGGTGTGATAGTGACACCAAAGTGCGATGGTCCGTTCGCTGATGTGCGATGGTCTATATGACGCGTGATGGCAAGTTAAAATCTGCAAATGTGCAATTATTATGAGAGAAGTAGTTTTTTTAATAGTTAGTAGATATATTTGCATTCGTTATTGTATATATTTCTATGTAGAAATAAGAATATGTGGTATGAGTGCCAATGAGACAACTCTCCATCCAAGTCACAATGTGTAAAAAGTAAAAATTAAAGGTCAAAGTACGGCCTTCAACACGGAGCCTTGGCTCACACCGAACAGCAAGCTACAAAGGGCCCCAAAATGACTAGTGTAAAACAATTCAAACAGAAAAACCAACGGTCTAATCTATATAATGTCCTTAGTTACAGTTGCATACTAAATGAGTGATCGGTCTTTTTTGTTTTTCTGCATGGGGACATTATGCTGCGTTAACATTTTATCTTTACTTTGTCCCTCTCATGAGTTTTTAGTTTACCGTAATTTTATAATACCAAGAGTATGTCTGCGGTCTCGTATGTAGTAAGAGAATGCCACGCTCCATCGTACATAAAAAAGAACCTTTTGTAGATTTCGAAAAAAAAATCCGCCGTACAGAAGATTAACTTTCCCATTTCCACCAATCACTCCCCGTTTCCCATATTATAAAAGTTTATAAGCTCCTTGTTAACTTAAAAACCCGAAAAACTGCTTCTATAAATACAAATTGCCTTCTTCATCAACACGAAAAGCATTGAAAATATAGTTTATGTAGTCCATCACACTTCGACGTTACCACCAGCGCACTTCAGCGAAGCTATCAACAAAATAGCGTCACAATGCCACCATCGCGTGATGAAAAACGCACTTCAGCGTCCAATTATCGCACTTCAGCGTCCAATCATCGCACTTCAGCGTCCAATCATCGCACCTCAGCGTGACCATCGCGGTTTGGAGTACCATCGCGGTTCAGAGTCCTACATATATATATATGTTTCTGTCTACATGCAGTTTCAAAATTTAGTATATATATAACAAATTTACTCATTATGTTTCTTCTTATTTGTGACTTTTTTCCTGTGACTTTTTTTATTGTGACTTTTTTTTTCCTGTGACTTTTTTCCTACATTTTACTATTTTACCATATAGTACATAATATTTAAAACATATTGTGGACAATTACAAATAAATTATTCAATTGTGTAGGTTCTGCCGATAAAGCGGATCTACGGGACCGGTAATGATGCCTTGCAACAGGATACTTCAGTCCAAAGAACTGAATTGTTCAGAAATCTGTTATCATAATCAGAGACATATAAATACGATTTGTATAATATATCTCTGGTATAATTGTCCCAGATACAGTATAGAATTTCTGAGACTATTATAATTTTTTAGGTAATATTTGTAATTTTGTTTGAATTTGTTATTGTTTTATTGTGAGTTGTTCGTTTTTAGTGTTAATAAAGTTTTTAATTCATTGCTGTGTACTTTATCCATTCAAATACTTTCTCTTTTCCGGATTTTTCTCAAGTTCATACCAGTCAATTGTTTAAGAATTATTCGTCCAAGAACCGGAAATGTGAAACTTCACTTCGCGGACAGGTCAAAACAAAGCTGACGTCATTTCTGCAACTAGTACATTTGTTTACATTTGTAAAAATTTGAAAGAATGTCAGCAGAATCGCCCCGAAAGCACATTAGATTTGTAAATAATGTTGTTAGACCACAAGGTTTTAGGTAAATTCCTTTTATAGAAAGATAACATAAGGGATACATGTACCAGATTGGGACCACTTTAATACCCAAAAATGAATATGATAGCCAGTTTGGGATACTTCTTCTTCTTTTTCTTTAATGTACAGGCCTCCCATGGGAGTATTATCGTACTGTTTTATGTATATGTTCGATGTGAGAACAACACATGTGCGGGTATGTGCGAATTATCTACAGTGAAACGGTGCTTCTTTAAAATAACGTTAAAACAAGGTTGAACATCTATCACTTGCACACCCCTTTTAAATGATTCAGGGGTTGTGCAGCTTACTAGTTGTAGAGGCAGTCCATTCCAGATTCTGATGGTGTCTGGGAAAAACGATTATAGATATACTTGAGTACTGGCAAAAGGAATGAGAAATCGTTCTTTGTGTCCTCTTACTGTTGATGTTACTGGCTGTAAATTTGTAGATGGTATGGCAATCAGTTTGTGCACTACTCTATAAAACATGATGACTTTACATTGAGCTCTCCTTTCTGTAGTGTCTTCCAATTTAGTGCTTGTAGCATTGATGTTACACTGCTAGTTCTTCTATAATCATTTAGTACACATTGTGTTTATCAGGGTTGTATAGCTTCTAATTTGTTTATGTTGCAGTGTTCTCCCCAGGCCGTTTTAGTGTCGCGGCACCGAGACGCTATATTTTTTTCCCGTGATGCTATAATTATTTCCGCGACGTTATTATTATTTTGAGGATGCTATTTTTCTTGTCTCTATATCGCAAAACCATGTCCTAAATTTTGAACTTTCATCTAATTACCAGCTTGTGATCATAAAAATTATATCACCTTTAATTGTAATCCCTTCAAGTCCGACAATAGAGGCAATTTAGAGTGATTAAATAGGTGTTAATTGCCCTTTGGGTGATAACTGAATGGATACGAAAACACCAAGCTGACACTTGTGACATGACTAATACCACGTGGTCCAATCGCAAATTTCAACATGGAGAAAATTTAATCAGAAAATTGAAAAACAATTCGAAATCTACGTTTGCATAATCCAAATTCAAAGATACAACTATTACAAGTAGAAAAGAGATTAGGTCGTGCATTTTTACAACTTTTAAAAAATTACTTTCTTTCATTTCCGGTATCTAGTTAATTGAGAGCGTACATGCCGTATATTAAACATTTTGATTTTGAGTTAAATAAGTTTGATACTACTTTAGAAAGAGATCATAACTGGCTTTAGTTAATGTTTCATCCATTTAATGCATAAAAAGCGTCATACTCATTCCCAATCTCTTGTCAAACATTGTTTATTTTCGTAAATTTTTCTTCCGCCGCCATTGAAATATTTGTGTAAATTACGAATCGAAACCGGACCAGATATGACAAAATTCCGTATTTTTACGATAATAACTACAGATGCACACATGGCACAGTAGACAGAAAAAATGATCACAAAAGAGAAAACTATGCTTTCCAAACGCATTAACAGACTATTTATTAGATATCTTTGCTAAATGTATTCTTTTTGAAAATGCATTGTTTTAATATACTGACTAAAGTAGCTTAACTTTGTTAAAAATATATATCATTTTGATATAAAGAAACAACTGGGACTAATTCATTGAGCTCCATGAAACAATGAATTTCATAGACATGATAAAGAAAAAAGTTTTTTAATTGAAATTTTATTGCTATATGATACTTTCTCTTCCCTTTTTATATAAAAAACAGTTCTTTTTTTTGCTAGATATTTAGTATTGTATATACAGGTTGCACTATAATAAACCATTCGTTCACTCATTCATTCATTCATTTAGTTGATTAGGTAGGGTAACTGGAACCACACATATATTTTTATTTGGCCCAAGAGGAAAAAATAATTCTGTAACTATAAATGAATATAGAAAACATAAACTGAAACAACTGTTATCATGGTTAAAGTTTAATTGTATTCTCAGTTATGAATTGAACAATATAAACATATATAACATAAAGGAAAAAGAGCATCGCCACGACGCGTCAAATGACATTGAAAAAAATACAGTTTATTTTTTTAAGCCAAATGTGATGCTATCCAAAATTTCTGGGGAGAACACTGTGTTGTCCTTAGGAGCTGGATCCCAGATGGTGCTAGAGTATTCCATGAGTGGTCTTACAAGCATTTGATAACATAAGGCTTTAGTTTTACTAGGACAGTTTTTTATGTTTATTTGAAGAAAAGCTCGGGTGGAGTTAGCTTTCTTTGCGATGTTGTCAATGTTCCAACTCAATGTTTTGTGTATGGAGAGGCCAAGATATTTCGCCCAGTCAACCTCTTCTAGGATATGGCCGTGGATGTTGTAGTTTACCTCTACAGTACAGATACATAATTGGATACATGAATCTGTGCGACGATATTAGTCAAACGACTTCTTACATAGAAAGATCCCAAATGGGATATCAATTAAAAAAATGTACAAGAAAAAAATCTCAAGTTTCATCCCCTTATCTGCTTATTTTTACAATATGCATGATGTAATGTCCTTTTATTTAATTGAATTGTCTTTTGGTTGAAACTTGAAGAAATTAATATGCACGCTTAGTCCAAATGATTAAGACGTCTTAAAGACTATTTTTATTTTTTGCTGTGACGCCATAATAATTTGGATTAATTCAGGCCCTGCAATATTATACCCTTTGGTGTTATGAAAAGTCATGAATAATTTGCAGTTTCCGATAAAAAAATACAGAATGTTCCTGATGTAAGTCAAACTTTTATGCAATTTTAATTGTATGAGGCAGACCTGTCATACCTGATGAGATCTCAAGACTTGAAGGTTATTAGCGCTTGTTTGTTTTACTTAATTAGAGGCCTGTGTTACAACAATGACCTATAGTTGTTAATTTCTGTGTCATTTGGTCTCTTGTGGACAGTTGTCTCATTGGCAATCATACCACATCTTCTTTTTTATATTACCTGTTAAAGAAGACAGTCTTTTTTATTTTCATGATACTTTTTGATGATAAGATGTATACAAATATGCAGGAAATCATATGCTTTACAACATGACAGCTTCTGTGAACAGCATGAATGTGCAACTGTTTGTGAAAAAAGTTATTGATTTTGGACTCATCCCATCTACATTTTACTTGGCTAATCTAGTGTCTTGTGAACATAAAAAAACACCATAGATACAGTAAAAGTCTGCTCCGACCATACATTGCCTTTCAATTGAAAATTAACAAGGAGGATTGATTTCTTTTAAGTACTAACCTTAAAAGCAAAAGAGATTACTTAATTGTTGGCAGCCAACATTACACTTTTACACTGATAGCAGCAATCGCTGGGGCGGAGGGGGCATTAAGTGTTACCCTTGTCTGTACGTATGTCCCAAAATAAGTTTCCATTCCCTAACTTAACACAATGCTAAATACCACAAAACACAGATCAAAGTTCACTTTTACCGTTCTAGAGTTATGCCCCTTTATAAATGGAAAAATTGCTGAATTTTTCATTTCCGTTCTCTAAGTTTCATTTGTCTCAACCAATTGTAATAAAATCTTTACACAATGCTTATTACCATGAAACATAGATCAAGTTCGAATTTGGGTGGTGTCACTTTTACAGTTCTCTAGTTATGTCCCTTTATAATGTTATTTGCAAGCGGGGGCATTTCATCTGTGTCCCATGGACATATTCTCCATTTATTTATTATGCCCCTGGCTTAGCCTTCTGTCAGTCCAATTTTAGTTTCAGCACTCTAACTTAAGTTTTCCCCATCCAAATTTTATGAAACTCATACACAATGCCAAGAACCAGTACTTGCAGACAGAGTTCAAATTTGGACGGCGAGTCACATATCGTTCTAGAGTTATGCCCCATTATAACTTGGAAAATTGAAAAAATATTTTGTTTCTGCACTCTAACTTAAGTTTGCCTCATCTAAAATTTATGAAACTCATAAACAATGCTATGCACTTAAACACTAAAACTCTTTAAAAACTAGAAGTGACATATGCTCTCAAAAAGTATTTTCACGTTTTATAAGCAAGCTTGAGCGGGGGCATTGTGTCCTCAGACACATTCTTCTTTTATTTACCAACATTAATTTAGCACCTGCATATATTACTCCCAGTTGATATGATATGCCAGAGCTTATATTTCTGATCAGGGTTTCTTTAAGAGAGGTTTGCTATTTACAGGAAAGCAAATGAACCAATGGTTGTAAGTGATGAAATTAAGGTCTCTTCAAAGGTTTTGTAAACGCCATAGTAACTAATTTGGTGGACCTTTTCAGAATATTTGTGTCACTGATGACCAAGGGTCCATTAGTTGGAGACACAATCCCATCCTTCTTCATGTTCTTCTTGAAATTTCGTCAGTTTAACAAATATCTGCTAATATATAAAAAATAAGAAGATGTATGATTGCCAATGAGACAACTCTCTACAAGAGACCAAATGACACAGAAATTATGTTTACATTTATCGAGTTATACATGTAAATGTATATTCATACTAACAACTTTATTTTTCAGTGACAAAACAGTTATGGAAAATGTAGTTGATTTTATATCAGATGTTGTACCACAGGTGAGCAATATTTCAGTCATAATTGAAATTAAAAGTATGAAATATAATATTTCAATAAAATGAGAGGAATTTACAAAATCTACATGACAAAATATTAATTTGTTAACAAAATGAATGCTGTTTCTACTAAGCATGTTAAGTGTGTTAGGTTATTTGAAAATAAAATATGCAGAACTGAAGGGTTTATGTAATTGATACATGTATATCCAGCAAACTTGAGGTACAATGTAGATCAGGAGTCTAAATTAAAATTGATATCATTTTTTGATAATTTGCCAATATGTAGTTTATATCATGCTTTTTTTTCAAAAATATTTTAAAGCGTTGTGGTCATAGATCTTTTTTTCAATCTTCAGGTTGTACAAAATTTTAAGATTCTGTATCAATTATACACATGATACATGTAAAAATCAATTTTGTTTGATAGATTAAAAACTTAACAATAGAATATTAAGATATTTTATCTAGAAATATTGTCTACTATGTGTACCTCAAAGGTCTGGTTACATGCATAGGGATATTTTTTAAAACAGGAAGAAAAAAAGAACATGCAAACTTTATGATGTAAGAACAGCTGCAGTCATGAAATTATAAGTTGTGCAAATAAGTTCTTAAAAATATTCTGTATATATACATTTTTGTACCTGACATCAGATTGCAAAATACCATTAGTAAATGTGCAATGTTTTTTTTAAATTTATCTAGTATAATTACTGAACGTACTATTGTAGTTTCAGTACTTTGTTTTAATTTCAGGCCTATAGTGGAAACCAAAAAGTTGATGACAAAGAGAAAATTTTGTGGATGAGATTTGAAAGGAGTGATATCAATGGTAATGAGAAAGAAATGAATTTTTATGCCCCTGCTGTCATCGGAGGGAGCATTAAGTGTTACCCTTGTCTGTCCGTACGTCCCAAAATTGGTTTCCATTCTCTAACTTTAGTAATAAAAATCTGTGTTCATAAAAATTGGTACAAATAATCTTCATACGTAATCAAGCCAAATGTCATATAAAAAAGAGGGGTCCATATACTCGTTTTCAAGCTAATGATTAAAATCAGTCAAAAAATGCATCTTTTCATGATACCGTATAGCAGGTTATTTTCACAGGGTGTTTATTTTTCGCTTATTTTCGCGGGTAAAGGAAAATCACGAAAATAAATTCCGCGAAAATTTATGCATACGTTCGGTACTTTCTAATAGCTTATGCATTTTTTAAACAATCTATTTTTTCCCGGTCGACTGGTTAATAACAGGTTCATGTTAATTTGAACAACACAAATGCCAAAGTGCATTACTCACATATCTTTTATAAAATGGCTGTCAGGTGTTAATTAGTTTATTGGTGTGAAATAATACAAGATTGTAAGGTACTCTGTCAGGTATTTTACCCTAATGAAATAGCGTCAAATTATATAAGAGTTGCAAGTCACTCTTGATGATTTTATTATCTAATTAGTACATCAAAGGTCCGGTCAATTTCATAACTAATCAACCCTAACATTTACAAGAAGTTTGTACACCTGTGACAAATATCAGAAATCCGGTATTCTATTGATTGAATATATCAAAATATAATCAATAAATAAGACGTCATGCAGGTAAAAACAATCATTTAATGATAATAATAGACACTTGCTGGTCAATTTTTATAACTGTTTGACTGCAAACTATATCCGCCAAAATAAAAACCGCCAAAATGTTTTGTATACTGTATGGTATGTCACAGTTTGATGTGTCGAAAAATAGCATTTTACGTTAGCAACGTCAATGACATTATCTCCCCTGTAACTGTATCGTATGCCCTTAAGATAAGTTTTGCATGTACAAAATGTAGATGGTCTGAGTGGGGACTATTGTGACTTACACACTCCCTTTAAAGTGAGGCATACATGTCTTACAAACCTAACACCTATTTTGTCAAGGCCATGGTATTTTCTTCCTCTTTTTATATGACTGCAAAAAAAAATTGCGGTCGTATATTGGTATGACGTTGGCGTCCTCGTCCTCGTCCGAAGACACATTGGTTTTCGCACTCTAACTTTAGTTTAAGTGAATGGATCTTTATGAAATTTAACCATAAGGTTCAATACCACAAAAGGAAAGTGGGGATTGATTTTGGGGGTTATGGTACCAACTGTTAAGGAATTAGGGGCCAAAAAGGGGCCAAAAATAAGCATTTTTGTATCTTCCAAACATAACTTGTGTGTTAGTGTATGGATCTCTCTGACATTGTACCACAAGGTTCCATATCACAAAGGGAATGCTGGGATTGATTTTGGGGGTAATTGCCTCCAAATTTTAGGAATTAGGGGCCAAAAAGGGGCAAAAAACAAGCATTTTTCTAGTTTCATGACAATAACTTGTGTGTAAGTGTATGGATCTCTCTGACATTGTACCACAAGGTTCCATATCACAAAGGAAATGCTGGGATTGATTTTGGGGGTAATTGCCTCCAAATTTTAGGAATTAGGGGCCAAAAAGGGGCATAAATCAAGCAGTTTTCTAGTTTCATGACAATAACTTGTGTGTAAGTGTATGGATCTTTTTGAAATTGTACTACAAGGTTCCATATCACAAAGGGAAAGCTGGAATTGAGTTTGGGGGTAAATGCCCAAAACATTTAGGAATAAGGGGCCAAAAAGGGGCCAAAAATAAGCATTTTTCTAGTTTCCAGACAATAACTTGTGTTCAAGTGTATGGATCTCTCTGAAATTGTACTGCAAGGTACCATACCACAAAGGGAAGGCTGGGATTGAGTTTGGGGTGATGAATCATAAGGGGGTTCAACAAATTTTGGGGGGGGGATTTTTTTTTCGTTTTTTTTCTTTAAAATTTTCCATTTTAAATTGGTTATTTCTGAATTATATATAAAAGCAAATACATTGTAATAATGATATGGTTTGAATAGGTAAATTAAAAAATTTTAAGTTCTTAGACCACATTCATTCTGTGTCAGAAACCTATGCTGTGTCAAATATTTAATTACAATCCAAATTCAGTGCTGTATCAAGCTTGAATGTTGTGTCCATACTTGCCCCAACTGTTCAGGGTTCGACCTCTGCGGTCGTATCAAGCTGCGCCCCTGCGGAGCATTTTATTAGTTACTCTTCTGATTTATTGATTGATTGTTTCTTGCTCAATATCCTTTTGCTATTACATGTATTTCATGCATATTCAGGATGAGTAATTATTAACAATTAATGCGATAGTAAGGTTCTGCAAGGATGAATGACATGTATGAAGGGCTGTAAATTTAGACTGTTACAGGAAAACAATGGTATGTTGGATAGGCGCAGGATACAACAGGTCATTTACCCTTTGGACAATTGAGACATATTTTAAAACAGCAAAAGGCAAATAACCTTTTACTTGTGACATTTTTTAATTGAAAAATGTTGTACATGTATACATATGCAATACATTCAAAGTTATTCAGGTATCAACTATTTAAAAACATACAAGATATGGGATTTGCTCATTGTTGAAAGTGGTATAGTTAGATTGGTGACCTATAGTTGCTTAAGGGCATATGATTAAGTTGCAGGGGAGGTAATGACGGCGCTAACGTGAAATGTTATTTTTCGCAACATCAAACTGTGACATATCGGGAAAAGATGTATTTTTTGGCTCATTTTTATCTTTCAGACTGATTAATCTTGAAAATGAGTACATTGACCCCACTTTTTAAAAGTGACATTTGGCCTGATTATGTATAAAGATTATTTGTGTCAACTTCTATGAACAAATCACTGATGAAATTTTTTTAAATTAGATAAATATACAGCAAAAAAATCTGTTTTTTTACTAAAGTCATGAAACTTTTATAAAAATCGATTATTTCCAAAGAATTGTTACACAAATTCAAAGCACAATTATGTAGAGAAGATATTCCAAATGATTTTACAAAAATCAGCTTGCATCTATCGTTTTAAACAAAAAGTTAGGTGTGTCTTTCTAAAGGATAGAAATGTCTAAGAAACCGAAATTTCCAGTGAATATCTAAATCGTAAACACCATTTATCTCTAAAAGTAGTACATGAAGGTCTATTTTTTATTACATATTTGAATTGACTAGGTGAAAATCCATATCAGTTGGACTACGGTGGACATTTGTCTCATTGACAAACATACATATTTATTTGTTTTATAAGAATTTTAATTCGTATTTCAGATATATCAAGGAATCCAGATTTTACAGTCGGAGAAAACAAAGGCATTCCATTACTGCTTATATTGGGGTATAGTAATGGAGTTCAAATCTGGAATATAATGGTAGGTTCAATTCTTGCCAAGATACAAATTATAATTGTTAGAATATGTTATTGATGCCCTGAAGTTATGAACTGGTAATTACAAATTTTTCTTGAATTTTAAAATTTACAAGGTAAGAAAAATGAGTGAAAGGTGTTTGATTTTGATACACTGTAGTAAAGTTTAGATTTTCTTTTGACTTTAAAGGGTCTTTTTCAAGTGATATTAGTCATACATTAGGTAACTGAGTGTAATTTTTATACGACCGCAAAAATTAAAAATTTTTTGGTCATATATTGGTATCACGTTGTCGTCGTCAGCGTCGTCCGAAGACAGATGGTTTCCGGTTAATAACTTTAGTATAAGTAAATTGAAATCCATAAAATTTTAACACAAGGTTTATAACCACTAAAAAAAGGTTGGGATTGATTTTGGGGGTTATGGTCCCAACTGTTTAGGAATTAGGGGCCAAAAAAGGGGCCCAAATAAGCATTTTTGTAGTTTCCAGACAATAACTTGTGTTAAAGTGTATGAATCTCTCTGAAATTATATTACAAGTTTCCATACTACAAAGGGATGGTTAGGATTGACTTTGGGGGGTTATGGCTCAAACCATTTAGGAATTAGGGGCAAAAAAAGGGGAAAAACAAGGGGTTTTCTGGTTAAAGGACAATTGAGACAATTTAAAAGCAGTGCAAGGGAGGTAATCCAAATCAAAATCAATTTAAATAACAATGTTTGATTACCTCCCTTACACTGCTTGTAAATTATGTATTAAGAAATTATGATTGTCTAAGATACTGACCATAACTTGAGGGAAAGAATTATTTTTTGGAATAAGGGAAAGGGGGAGGTGAAAAAAATTGGAGGGGGACAATCTTTCTCATTTCAGATTTCAGAAATTAAAAGAAAATTTCTTCAAATAATTTTTTTTGGGGGTTAATATTCAACAGCATAGTGTATTGCACAAACGCAAAAAATTGAATATAAATTCAAATCATATAACCAATTTGAAGTTCTTTGACTACAGTTATTCTGTGTCAGAAACCTATTATGTCTCAAAAATTTAATTACAATCCAAATTCAGACCTGTATCAAGCATGAATATTGTGTCCATTTTGGCCCAACTTTTCAGGGTTGGACATCTGCGGTCGTATACAGCTGCGCTTAGCGAAGCAATTTATTATACATGTTAGATTTTTCTGTCTTGTATTTTAACTTGACACTCTTTTTCCGCTTTTAACAAAACCATGTTCTAATTCCAAAAAAAAACATGGGATACATGCTTGATTTCTAAATTGAATTTGCAATGTCAGTTGTCTTTTGAATACTGCTGGAGACCAAAATGGTATTGATGCGAGAGTTGTTGTCATGAATTTAAGTAGAATTGTTTTTAAAGTACTATATGTATACCTTTTGAATATTTTTAGGCATTATATTTACCAATATAACCCCATAACATGTTAAAATGAGCATAGAACATGACATGAAAAATTATTACTTAATTATAACTGATTCTAAGATTCTTATAATCAGCTTTTTGTTTTGCCATGACTTAGTCAAAAAGCTTGTCTTAGGTGTAATGTTTCAGGCAGTGGCATCAGCATTCACTCCTGCGTTAACAATCTGTTAAAGTTTGTGATTAGGTCAGTTCAAGGGGAACCACTAATGGTAAATCAAGGATATTTGGTATCTAGTTGTATAAGCATTGGCATTTCCATGGCGACTATTTGGCTCTGTCCCTCAGTCATGGTCTGTTGACTTAGAAACATTTTTATGCCCCCGCCGTAGCAGAGGGGGCATTAAGTTTTACCCTTGTCTGTCTGTATGTACGTACGTCCGTACGTACGTCCCAAAATTGGTTTCCCTTCTCTAACTTTAGTTTGCCTCAACCAAATGTTATGAAACTTATACACAATGCATATTACCACAAAACACAGATCAACTTTGATTTTGGTGGCATCACTTTTACCGTTCTAGAGTTATGTCCCTTGACAAATGGAAAAATTGCTGAAGTTTTCGTTCTCTAACTTTAGTTTGCCTCAACCAAATGTTTTGAAACTTATACACAATGCTTATTATCACAAAACACAGGTCAAGTTTGAATTTTGGTGGCGTCACTTTTACCGTTCTAGAGTTCTGCCCCTTAACAAATGGAAAAATTGCTGAATTTTTTGTTTCTGTTCTCTAACTTTAGTTTGCCTCAACCAAATGTTATGAAACTTATACACAATGCTTACTACCACAAAACACAGATCAAGTTTCAATTATGGTGGCGTCACTTTTACCATTCTAGAGTTATGCCCGTTTACAAATGGAAAAATTGCTGAATTTTTGTTTCCTTTCTCTTACTTTAGTTTGCCTTAACCAAATGTTATGAAATTTATACACAATGCTTATTACCACAAAACACAGATCTAGTTTGAATTTTGGTGGCGTCACTTTTACCGTTCTAGAGTTTTGCCCCTTTACAATGGAAAAATTCCTGAAATATTTGTTTCTGTTCTTTAACTTTAGTTTGCCTCAACCAAATGTTATGAAACTAATGCACACTGCTTATAACCACAAAACTCAGATCAAGTACAAATTTGGGTAGGGTCACTTATACAGTTCTGGAGTTATATCCCTTTATAAAGTTATATGCAAGCGGGGGCGTCATCTATGTCCCATGGACATATTCCCCATTTATTTCATATAGTTTACTTTACATGTTAAGGTTTGTGATTTGGTCAGTTTATCGGGAACCACTTATGATATTAAAGTAAATGATAATTAGTATGCAGTTGTATTAGCAATGTCATATCTAATTTCCATTGAAATTATTTAGCCCTTTAATATACTTCAGTCATGGTTCATTGACTTTGAAAATAATCAAAATTTACATACCTGTCAACTGACCCGGAACTGCGGGTGTGACCCGAGATTTTCACAATTCTGAGCGGTCACCTGGAACACCCGCCAGGTGACCAAATAACCTGGGAATTCGGAAAATAACCCGTTTTCATCCGGATTCCTTAGCCTTCAGACTTATTAGATATAAGGTGATTGCAATGAAATACCGGCAAATTCGTAATTCTTCTTGGACAAGAAGTTCAACTAATTGTTTAACTTTATTTTATTATATTCTAATATCAACATATGATTTGTTCTTCATCAACATCATTACCAATCCACAGTCACGTCTCAGTCATTACAACTGAACGGACGTGCTAGGTCAGCTCTCTTTTACCCGCTATCTTCGATGAGGGTTTACTGTTAGATGGATCAACGACCTTACTACTTTCGATGACAGAAATCAATCCAACGCTGTACAGACTACTTTAGGCTATAATCCGCGTAGGGCTAATTCCTGCGTCAACATACACTCCAAAACCCATTATGGATGGGGGAGTGGTATGCCGAGTGACGTCCGAGGGCTGTTTCCTAGGTGTTAGATGATGGACCACCATTTCACTGTCTCACGACTTTGGTCCTGATAATGCTTCCTGTCATCGTTAATACTACGTCCGAGACTCATCTACCAGTACTCCATCATCGAGGTTAGTGGGCTGCCAAGCTGACCAATCTGGCCCTGAAAGCAGCTGTTGTGAAGACATAACATCAAAATAGTCAACAAAAGAAAAACCAAAACAACTCACAAAACCAAAATGGCGGCCTACCAAAATGGCGTCCTCCACCTGTTCCTGACCGATGGCACAAAATTATTTAGACGCTCACCAAACGCCTTCGGGCACCGAGCTGACGGTGCGAGGGATGTATATCCAGTCAAGGTCGTTAAAAACTTCCATTTGTTGATATGTTCTATTCATCACATCTCATCATTACAGTCACGTCTCAGTCATTACAACTGAATGGACGTGCTGGGTCAGCTCTCCTTTACCCGCTATCTTCGATGAGGGTTTATTGTTAGATGGATCAACGACTTACTACTTTCGATGACAGAAACCAATCCAACGCTGTACAGACTACGTTAGGCTATAATCCGCTTAGGGCTAATTCCCTCGTCAACATACACTCCAAAACCCATTATGGATGGGGGAGTGGTATGCCGAGTGACGTCCGAGGGCTGTATCCTAGGTGTTAGATGATGGACCACCATTTCACTGTCTCACGACTTTGGTCCTGATAATGCTTCCTGTCATCGTTAATACTACGTCCGAGACTCATCTACCAGTACTCCATCATCGAGGTTAGCGGGCTGCCAAGCTGACCAATCTGGCCCTGAAAACAGCCGTTGTGAAGACATAACATCAAAATAGTCAACAAAAGAAAAACCAAAACAACTCACAAAACCAAGATGGCGGCCTATCGAAATGGCGTCCTCCATCTGTTCAGACTGATGGCACAAAATTATTTAAACGCTCACCAAACGCCTTCGGGCACCGAGCCGACCGTGAGAGGGATGTATATCCAGTCAAGGTCGTTAAAAACTTCCATTTGTTGTGATATTTTCTACTGGTTAAAAGCTGCACAAATGTACGTAAAGAAAACACAAATTGGCACATTGTATGTCATGGAATGAATATGAACAGGAATTAAGGCAATGTAACACAAATCTATCAATGGCCTCCAGGTGCAATGAAATAAAAACATGTACAATTTTAAATTACTTAACCATGTGGACATGTTTTGATATAAATTATAAGAAAAATGTCCCCTAAATACTGAAAATCAGCTCGAAAAAAATTTATATCATAACTACATACAGGCGAGACATATCTTTGTGTCAGTTTATTTGTTTAATAGGAGCAAGTACTTAGATTGATATGAATAGAATAAGATGTGATGTAGATGTCGATGAGACAGCAACCCAATGACACGAAGAAACCAAAACAATATCTCATATACAGAGGTACATGTAGTATACAATTTTACCTTATGCAATCAAATACTTTTCATGTTTAAATTTAATTTTTATCTTTTAGCCAAATGGTGAAGCACAAGAAGTATATTCTGTAAGACAGGGACCAGTAAGGCTACTCAGGGTGTTACCTACACCTTCTCCAGGTAAGATAGGGGACCAGTAAGAATACTAAGTGTTACCTTAATCTTCTCCTGGTTAGACAGGGTACCAGTAAGAATGCTCAGAATGTTGCCTACATCTCATCATGGGACAATAAGGGACCAATGATAACAGTATTACATACCTTTACTCCATGTAAGACAGGGGACAAGTGAAAACACTAAGGAACCTGTATAGAAATAAGGAGATGTGGTATGATCACCAATGAGACAACTATCCACCAGAGACCAAATGACGTAGATGTTAGCAACAATAGGTCACCATAGGGCCTTCAACAATGAACAAGACCGATACTGCATAGCAAGCTATAAAAAAGCCTAGAAAATGACAAATGTAAAACTATTCCAAGAGAAAACTAAATGCTTGATTTATGTACAAAATAATAAACAAATATGATATACTGTGTCTGTTCATATTTGGTGGGATTAATCTAGTTTTTACATTCCACGAAATAATTTGGGAGACTATATAGTTACTGGTTTGTCTGTCTATCCATAAGAAGCAAACAGTATCTGGATGATAACTTGAGTTTTCTTTTGATTTAAACCTTTAAGTTACCAAGAATTCAATGCAGGTCCAGTTCAGTTTTGACCTTCGACAGCTATGAATCTTCAATGGTCTCAAAATAGATATAAAAATAATTTAATAGGTTGAGTCCTTTGAATCTGCTCAAAATGGTTATCATTATTGTTTTCCTATATAGAAAAAAGACACAAAAATGACAATAATTAACAAACAATAATGAATCCACAGTAATTTGCATTGAAACCAGATTTTTGTTTTCCTAAGTATAAGCTATCATACAAGTTTATTACTTCTAATGAGTTATATCATTGCTTAGTAGAATGGGTCAAATTTTTCTCCTGAATCTTAGAAGATGTATTTTACTTTTCAGCATATGGTGAAAATGATAAATTTGCTAGTAAAAGACCCTTGGTAGCTGTCTGTGATACATCAAGGTTTAGTACCATAATTATTAATTGTCAAAAACTTTAACACACACACATGCCATCTTAATGCGAGTTACCAACAATATTAGTAGTGTTTATGCTGTCCTTTTATGATATCAAACAAGATTAATTAGAAATCACAAAGGGTTTTGCGGGTAGAAATTGTGAAATGAGTAATTCTGATCGTAACTTCTTTAAAAAAAACTTCAACTTGAATATTCTGATCGTTCCGTCATTAAAAAAAACTTCAATTGTTGTACTGTAAATTCCGAAATCAATGTGTGCACATATTATTGCGAATCATTGACCATTTGCTAAAATGCAAAATCTTATAAATGCGATTGCAACAAATTTATAAAGAAAAATCAGTCCTGAAATTATGAATGCAAGTCTTTATTATTGTGAACCTGATATTGTCGCATTTTTCTCATTAATAAAAATATCACAATAATTTCTGAAATTAACAGTACCTATTTTGCTGTGTTGTGTTTGTCGAATGAATTTTGAATAGAGCCCTAATTACATTGTTGATCTTTGAATGAACCATTTTTGCAGAAAAATTATCTGGAATATAAATGTAAGTTCAAAGTTCATATCTGTGCCTAAAATTACAGTCAAGCATCAATTTTCATACAAAAATTACCACTGTATCAGCTTGTGTTTTAATCTGCTCCTATTTTTTCTAGGCTCAGACATAGGATTACTGGGTAGTTTTATAGATATGTATTAGCAGATGTAGGACAAAGTATTACAATATGATATTACATGTATTGATTGTTTAATTTAATTTCAGTGCTGGTCAGCCTTACTGTTCAGTGAAGTTTGTGTCTCTGAAGACCGGGGATGAAGTTCACAACATCAGTTTTAAAACATATCCAGTCATTAATATAGAGTGCAATAAAAGGTGGGTTAAATAAAAAAATCACTATTAAATTTGTTTATTATCAATAAATCAAAGTGCTTGTGAGCACTGAAGGGTAAATATTGCTTTCATTTTGCAAGTTTGTGAAAAAATCTAACAAATCTTTTATATTTACTTTTTCTAATGGGTTTATGGTAAAAAATATTGAAGATCCAAATGAATACACGATAAGAATATTGCTTACTACTAAAATTCTATACAAATAAAAGACATGAAAGAGAGAGCAAACCAACAACACAAGTTTACAAAAATATATTTTTTTTAAAAAGGTGAATTAGCTGCCATTTAGACAAAAAAATTGAATATGAATTCTTTTGTTTCAAACAGTTATAAAAGCGGAATTATGAAATAATATTTCGCTATAAGCCGTCAGTTTGGTTCAATTTGGTCTAAGATCAAAAACATCGCAAATGTATTACTGACTTGCAAGTCAATAATACATTTGCGATGTTTTCAACCTCAGTTGATCCCTATTCAAGTAACCCTAACTTGACTTTCAGCTGAAAATGGGGTATGCATGCCCTAAATGTGTTCAGTAATTAAAAAGAATAGAATGTCAACATTGAAAAGTGAAACAAGGGAGCCAACATAAAAAAAACAACATTTCTTTGACTGATTTGGCCCACAAGAAATTATTCATATCAAGGTAAAACCATGATTTACATTTTTTAAATCTATGACATGAAATCAAACAGACCTAGGAAAAAATTGCAATTACACAACTTCATATGCTTCTCAGTTTATTTATGTTTATATTGAGTCGAAATGACCATTGCCAGTCAAGCATGTATAAAATGTGTACTTTAATTAAGAAATTGTATCAGATTTTGCTGTGTTTCTGTGTTATTCAGTATAAATATAATTATATTTCAGAAAAAAGTGAAAGCATGCCAAAAGCAATACTCTGACAGTTGAAAAATAAATAAAAATGTATTTCAAAATTGCTGATCCAATTTGATAATATTTTTCAGAGTGATAGTAGTTGTTTTCAAGGAGAAGCTTTGTGTATTTGATGCGGCTACCTTAAAACAGAAGTTCTGGATAACAGGTATCTGTTTTAATCGTCTTAACAAAATTGATTTTGTTACTTGTGTTTAACACAATAAATTAATGAAATGGGATACATGAATTGTTTCCGGCCAATAATTTAATAGATTTCATTGTAGTGGTAGGTTACAGTATTATTTATTAAACAAAATACTATTTTTGTTGCTCATATGAAACCAGATAAAAAAAATAATGAAATGTAGATTCCTTGAAATAGCAACTTATTTAAACCATGAAAGTTGAACTTGTGAAAATAAATGATTACTCTGTCTACCTAAGGTAGTTTTGGTTCAATTAACATGTTAAGGCACTAATTATTATTTTTATCCTACAATTTTAAAATTTTATTTTACATCGTGACATGTTTTTGATTTGAAAGTGTGGTCTCCATTGTGTGATGAACAAATAGAAAGAAGTATGTAGAACGTTAAGTTATTAATTTTTGTGTTTTTCTTAAGATTCATTTATTTCCATGGGTACCAATTTTCATTGATTGAGGAAAAGTTGTATTTTCGTGGACATTTGATTTCATGGTTTTGCCAAAGTCTGTATACAAGCCTATTGAAATTATGTACTTCATTGAACTTTTAAATTCATGGTTCACCTTCATCCTCGAAACCCACGAAAATCTATATCCCACGAATAATAATGAATCCACAGTTACTAATTTTGCATGAATTTTAATTGAATTTCTTTTAGCATTACTTTAATACGTTATTTCGAAACATTTCAGCAATATGTCAATACATTATATGCAGACCTGGTTTCTATCTTTTTCAAATTTTAAAGTTAACATATAAAAAGTAATACATGTATATATGTCTTGCCTCACACATAATAAAATACAGTACTGATTGTATATTTGTGAATAAATATTTATTAAAGTCATATGAAATGAGTTTCTTGAAATGATAATGTTATGGAAATTATTGAACCTATGCATGTATATATATACTAAACTAAGTCCTCTATCCTCAATTTTTTACAATCATTACGAATCCATAACATATTCCACAAAAATATTTCATTCAGTGAAGCACATGAAAAATAAGTGAGATGATAGACATGCTATAGCGATGTTTTTTTTTTATATATATATTCTCCATGTGTTTCTATTTGTCAGTTTAACTTTGTCATAACAATTAAAGATTTAGAGTATTAAATTGTTCTTTTCAGAATCAATTAACACTATTTACCTTCCAGAGCATGTTTATTTACATTCTTTAAATCACGTTTTTTTTCGCTCGCATTTCTACAGTGCGGTTGCCGAAGTTCTGTTGAGAGGTCTGGTGGTTAAGGTCACTGCATACGGAAAAGCTATTGCCGAAGTAGAGTATGGGAAGACAATAATTCAATAGCAGCTCATTTCTGAAGATTTTGATAAGATGAATGATTTTCTTTAAAAAGAAAGTTCATTACACATGTTATAAAGTAAAACTTAGCCATTCAAGTATATAAAACACATTCAACTTTTTTTTTAATTTAAAGTATCATATGACTTTAATACAGCTTATAATTTGACATATATGATTTTGATAAAATTGTAAATCAGGTTCATATTTATTTTTTCTTCTGTTTCAGACTGTTTTCCTTGTACTGGCCCCAGTGAAAACCCAGTTGCTCTTGGTAGTAGATGGCTGGCATATGCTGATAAAAAAGTAATTAGTATTAAAAATTTGTGAAAATGTTGGGTTTTTTTTTTTACATTGTTTTTCTTGATTGGAGATGTGTATTTCTATTTAATTTATAAGCTGGTATTTCATGATTAAGAAAAGAACAAAAAGACAAACATCAAACACATGTACTATTTTTTTTTAGAAATCTTTGATATTTTTATTGGTATAAATGCACAATTGTCAATACATTGTAATAGTTTTACAGTTCTGACATTTTCCCTAGTCATCTGACCCAGTTTTGCAAATCACAGAGAATTTAAAGCATGACCTGTATACGTTTTTCTTTGGTTCAAGTCATTTAGAGGAAATTTCCATATTACAACTTCAACTAAATATTCCATTCATTTTGCAGTAAGGGCAGAAAAAAATATATGGGGGGTTGGAAGGCACTTGAATTATTTTTTTATGAGTGGGGGCAGGGGGCAGGGCACGAAGTTCAAATTGCGTGGTTATGTATGCAAAGTAAAATGCAATTGTATGGGTGATGGCCACAAAAATAAGTGCCTTCCAATCCCCATGTAGTTTTTTTCTGGAATAGCCCTAAATAAATCTGTTTTGTCCTCACTAGATTTTTCATTCGCCCAAGGGATATGTTGACTTGGTACAAGTCACATGATTAAATTTGGTATGAATTTCTTGATTAATAATACATAAAAAGGATAACAGAAATTACCAAAAATATTATGACAGTACAACAGACCACGCCAACTACCAACACCCAACTCCTACAAATAAAATAGATGCACTCACACAAAAAAGCAATAAACAAATCATGGTCCAGATAGCCTGACTTGATACAGGCACAAAAAGTGGTGGGATTAAACCAGTTTTATATGTGTTCAAAGTCCCCCCCTTTGCCTATCTAGAACATATGTCATAGAAGTAAAACGCCTAATAAAAAAAAATGCACAGGCCAGCTACCAACAAGAAGACCTCTAACTTAAACAAGGAAAGAAAAGACAGCACATATTTGGAATAACAGGGTCAAAATATGTTACTTAATACTGGAAGCAACCTAATGTAGCTGCAGCTGTTGAGTAAATACTACCACTCTCAAGAAAACAAAAAATCAGAATCATGATTCCTTACAGATTGTAGGCAGTGCCAGCTTTTAACTTGTTTAAACATAAAATTTGCAAATGAAAAATTTATTTGATATAAAGAACAAAAAATCACATTACTGTTTATTCAGTAAATTGCAAGTCATGAATTCTCTTATTCCTGTCAACAAGTTTTATTTAACAACAAATTCAATACTGAGCTAATCGACCTTTAAAATAGTTAAGAATAATTCATTATTGTTGTATATATTACAGTTGGTACCATTACATCAGTCATTTGGAGGGATGTCAGGGGATGGAGCACAGTCGTATGCTGCTACAGTCATCAGTGCAGCAAAGGTTTGTTATCTTATATAAAAATAAGAAGATGTGGTATGATTGCCAATGAAACAACTCTCCACAAGAGACCAAATGACAAATGTCTGTGTAGGTTTGGAGCATATGTCAATGTATATTTGTGTCTTCTAACAAAAGTTCCTCTAGAAAGGTTGATATAAACAATCAGTGAAAGATCTTGCATTTTTTGAAAGGTGCAGCGTAATTTATGAAAATGGAATAGATACTGCAGTGTGAAGGAAGAGGAAAATATTTTGGACGTTTTTATGATAAAAATTAATATAAACCGTGAGTTAATTTTTGGGGCTCTACGCCTTTTCCTGGATCTGCCACTGACAATGGAACTAATATTCTATACCCTTTATTCCGTCAGGAACAAATACTGTAATATTTCTTCCAATGGAAATAATATTCCAGAATATTTCTTTTATTTGGACCTAACATAAAGGAACTTCTTTTTCATCTTTGGGGACAGTCACGTGCTACTACAGTCATCAGTGCAAGGAAATATTTGTTATGTTATGTTTTTATCTATTGAAAATCAACAAACTGATGAAATGAAAGAAATGAAAAATTTAAAATAGAGATTATATTACAGGGTGCATTTAAAGGGTTATCTGTGTTTAGTGAGGCTGTGGTTAGTAACTTGACTGGCAGCAAGCCCTCTACACCACCCAAGAAAGCTGACCTTAACCAGATAGATAATGGAAACAGACCAGGAATTATATCTATTGTAGATCTACAGAATATACATGGGGACCATGTAAGTTATGATAGTATTGTGTTAGTTAACAATTGGTGCATCAGAATATTTGGCATTTTTATCACCATACATGCACTTTTATAACTGCCTGAAAGCAAGATTCAGTATTTGAAAAGTACCATAAATATTGTGATTTTACCTTCAAATTGCAAACTGCCTCTTGACATTAAGCAAGCAAGCAACAATCAATTAATCAATCAAATTGCAAAGATATTTTTGACTGAAAACTGTTAACTGAAACACTGTAAGTGAACATCATTTTATGATATTTTAAAGTAAAAGGGTAAAAAGTTTCATGAGGAAACAATGAGTAGCAAATATACATAATAAACACAAATGAAGCTGTTAAATAAAAAAATAGATTTGAAAGGAAACGTATACTGTACTGAATTTACATTACAATATATATTATCATCAATATCATAATTTATTTTACAGTATTGTGTATCTGAAGACATTGACGATGACAGTTTAGTGGCACATTTCCACGCTCATGCTAATGAACCTGTATCTCACATGTTATTTGACCCTGCTGGGACATTATTACTGACTGCTTGTAAATTAGGACATAATTTTCACGTGTTTAGAATCATGGCCCATCCATGTAGCTCCTCACTAGGAGCTGTACATCATCTATATACATTACATAGAGGGGATACAACAGCTAAGGTATGGTTACTGTAAATTCATAAATCAAAGTGAATACATATAATGCGACTGGGTGAGATTTGCAATAATAAGAACTCCTATTCTGTTATTCCATACATAAATCTGTAGGCACATTTTTCTGAAATAGCAATAATTAATCTTGCATCAATTTGTGGTCGTTCCATCAAAAATCACAACAATAAATGCACAATAATTACTGAATTTACAGTTCATTAAAGGGTAAGGATATGCTTCTATATTTTCTATTCATTCTCTTAAATAAAAACTAAGTATGTTTATTTGTAATCTTAAATAAAAACTAATTATTTTCTATTAATTTTCTTAAATAAGAACTAAGTATGTTTAATTTTCTTGATTGTTTCAACTGTAATTAGAGAGGTAGCCATTTTCGGAGAGAAGTTTGTAAAATCAATGTTCAGATTAGAAACAATATGTTGATTAAATATGTAAAAACATGAGATCCATACATATTTTTTTTAATTTAATAAAATTAAGTCCCTAAAGGTGCAGAATAAATATTTATAATTACATAGATGGTGAAGATAGGTCTTTATAGAAGCATTGTTAACAAATTTTTGTAGATTATATACATTGTAGTTCCCTTAAGGAATCCATGATATAAATGATAACATGATGGATACAAATACAAGACCAAAACAAGATTTACAACTCACATCTGACAGTAAAATTCATATTACAATAACAAATTTTAGAACAGCATCCATGGGCTTATTAAGGTAGACTGTGTTATTTGTCATGTTATACATTCAGTTTATTCTCTAATATTTACTGTTACTTGTATCATTTATTTGTCTTGCTACCCCTGGGTCAGTACAGCTGATATAGGATAACAGTCCTCAAAGTACCATCCACATTGTATGTTAGTGTTTCACTACAAGCATGGTTAAAATGATACTTTGTGATTGCAAATTTTTGTTTAGAAATTTTGTAAGTTGAAGTTGACTAAATATAATTTTGGCTATTCTGTTGATGCCCCTTTATAAGTTTCATGCATCAGAATGTAAATATATATTGATTCTTGAGCATACTTATTCAAGAAACCAGAACTTGAAGTGAGCAATGAAACATTTATTTTGAGCGTAATCTTCAATATGCCATGGATACCCTCAACAACAAAATGAAGTAGCCAACGAAAAAGATATTCTCTATTGTGATTTGTACAATTATGAATGTAAAACTAACAACTGATAACAAACAATATTTATTTCACAAAATAATATAAACAAAATTATTTACTTGCCATTTCAAAATCCTTTGTATAATTTTAGGTTATAGATATGGCCTTCAGTCAAGACAGTAGATGGGTAACAGTTAGTACACATAGAGGTACAACTCATGTGTTCCCTGTTACTCCTTATGGTGGTAAGTTTAGGTCATAGATATGGCCTTCAGTCAAGACAGTAGATGGGTAACAGTTAGTACGCATAGGGGTACAACTCATGTGTTCCCTGTTACTCCTTATGGTGGTAAGTTTAGGTTATAGATATGGTCTTCAGTCAAGACAGTAGATGGGTAACAGTTAGTACGCATAGGGGTACAACTCATGTGTTTCCAGTAAACCCTTACGATGGTAAGTTTAGGTCATAGATATGGCCTTCAGTCAAGACAGTAGATGGGTAACAGTTAGTACACATAGAGGTACAACACATGTGTTTCCAGTAACTCCTTATGGTGGTAAGTTTAGGTTATAGATATGGCCTTCAGTCAAGACAGTAGATGGGTAACAGTTAGTACGCATAGGGGTACAACTCATGTGTTTCCAGTAAACCCTTACGGTGGTAAGTTTAGGTTATAGATATGGCCTTCAGTCAAGACAGTAGATGGGTAACAGTTAGTACGCATAGGGGTACAACTCATGTGTTTCCAGTAAACCCTTACGGTGGTAAGTTTAGGTCATAGATATGGCCTTCAGTCAAGACAGTAGATGGGTAACAGTTAGTACACATAGAGGTACAACACATGTGTTTCCAGTAACTCCTTATGGTGGTAAGTTTAGGTTATAGATATGGCCTTCAGTCAAGACAGTAGATGGGTAACAGTTAGTACGCATAGGGGTACAACTCATGTGTTCCCTGTTACTCCTTATGGTGGTAAGTTTAGGTTATAGATATGGTCTTCAGTCAAGACAGTAGATGGGTAACAGTTAGTACGCATAGGGGTACAACTCATGTGTTTCCAGTAAACCCTTACGGTGGTAAGTTTAGGTCATAGATATGGCCTTCAGTCAAGACAGTAGATGGGTAACAGTTAGTACACATAGAGGTACAACACATGTGTTTCCAGTAACTCCTTATGGTGGTAAGTTTAGGTTATAGATATGGCCTTCAGTCAAGACAGTAGATGGGTAACAGTTAGTACGCATAGGGGTACAACTCATGTGTTTCCAGTAAACCCTTACGGTGGTAAGTTTAGGTTATAGATATGGCCTTCAGTCAAGACAGTAGATGGGTAACAGTTAGTACGCATAGGGGTACAACTCATGTGTTTCCAGTAAACCCTTACGGTGGTAAGTTTAGGTCATAGATATGGCCTTCAGTCAAGACAGTAGATGGGTAACAGTTAGTACACATAGAGGTACAACACATGTGTTCCCTGTTACTCCTTATGGTGGTAAGTTTAGGTTATAGATATGGCCTTCAGTCAAGACAGTAGCTGGGTAACAGTTAGTACACATAGAGGTACAACACATGTGTTCCCTGTTACTCCTTATGGTGGTAAGTTTGGATTATAGATATGGCCTTCAGTCAAGACAGTAGATGGGTAACAGTTAGTACACATAGAGGTGCAACACATGTGTTCCCTGTTACTCCTTATGGTGGTAAGTTTAGGTTATAGATATGGTCTTCAGTCAAGACAGTAGATGGGTAACAGTTAGTACACATAGAGGTACAACACATGTGTTCCCTGTTACTCCTTATGGTGGTAAGTTTAGGTTATAGATATGGCCTTCAGTCAAGACAGTAGATGGGTAACAGTTAGTACACATAGAGGTACAACACATGTGTTCCCTGTTACTCCTTATGGTGGTAAGTTTAGGTTATAGATATGGCCTTCAGTCAAGACAGTAGATGGGTAACAGTTAGTACACATAGAGGTACAACACATGTGTTTCCAGTAACTCCTTATGGTGGTAAGTTTGGGTTATAGAAATGGTCTTCAGTCAAGACAGTAGATGGGTAACAGTTAGTACACATAGGGGTACAACACATGTGTTCCCTGTTACTCCTTATGGTGGTAAGTTTATGTTATAGATATGGTCTTCAGTCAAGACAGTAGATGGGTAACAGTTAGTACACATAGAGGTACAACACATGTGTTCCCTGTTACTCCTTATGGTGGTAAGTTTGGGTTATAGATATGGCCTTCAGTCAAGACAGTAGATGGGTAACAGTTAGTACACATAGAGGTACAACACATGTGTTCCCTGTTACTCCTTATGGTGGTAAGTTTAGGTTATAGATATGGTCTTCAGTCAAGACAGTAGATGGGTAACAGTTAGTACACATAGAGGTACAACACATGTGTTCCCTGTTACTCCTTATGGTGGTAAGTTTAGGTTATAGATATGGTCTTCAGTCAAGACAGTAGATGGGTAACAGTTAGTACACATAGAGGTACAACACATGTGTTCCCTGTTACTCCTTATGGTGGTAAGTTTAGGTTATAGATATGGCCTTCAGTCAAGACAGTAGATGGGTAACAGTTAGTACACATAGAGGTACAACACATGTGTTCCCTGTTACTCCTTATGGTGGTAAGTTTAGGTTATAGATATGGCCTTCAGTCAAGACAGTAGATGGGTAACAGTTAGTACACATAGAGGTACAACACATGTGTTTCCAGTAACTCCTTATGGTGGTAAGTTTGGGTTATAGAAATGGTCTTCAGTCAAGACAGTAGATGGGTAACAGTTAGTACACATAGGGGTACAACACATGTGTTCCCTGTTACTCCTTATGGTGGTAAGTTTATGTTATAGATATGGTCTTCAGTCAAGACAGTAGATGGGTAACAGTTAGTACACATAGAGGTACAACACATGTGTTCCCTGTTACTCCTTATGGTGGTAAGTTTGGGTTATAGATATGGCCTTCAGTCAAGACAGTAGATGGGTAACAGTTAGTACACATAGAGGTACAACACATGTGTTCCCTGTTACTCCTTATGGTGGTAAGTTTAGGTTATAGATATGGTCTTCAGTCAAGACAGTAGATGGGTAACAGTTAGTACACATAGAGGTACAACACATGTGTTCCCTGTTACTCCTTATGGTGGTAAGTTTAGGTTATAGATATGGCCTTCAGTCAAGACAGTAGATGGGTAACAGTTAGTACACATAGAGGTACAACACATGTGTTCCCTGTTACTCCTTATGGTGGTAAGTTTAGGTTATAGATATGGCCTTCAGTCAAGACAGTAGATGAGTAACAGTTAGTACACATAGAGGTACAACACATGTGTTCCCTGTCACTCCTTATGGTGGTAAGTTTAGGTTATAGATATGGCCTTCAGTCAAGACAGTAGATGGGTAACAGTTAGTACACATAGAGGTACAACACATGTGTTCCCTGTCACTCCTTATGGTGGTAAGTTTAGGTTATAGATATGGCCTTCAGTCAAGACAGTAGATGGGTAACAGTTAGTACACATAGAGGTACAACACATGTGTTCCCTGTCACTCCTTATGGTGGTAAGTTTAGGTTATAGATATGGCCTTCAGTCAAGACAGTAGATGGGTAACAGTTAGTACGCATAGGGGTACAACTCATGTGTTCCCTGTTACTCCTTATGGTGGTAAGTTTAGGTTATAGATATGGTCTTCAGTCAAGACAGTAGATGGGTAACAGTTAGTACACATAGAGGTACAACACATGTGTTCCCTGTTACTCCTTATGGTGGTAAGTTTAGGTTATAGATGTGGCCTTCAGTCAAGACAGTAGATGGGTAACAGTTAGTACACATAGAGGTACAACACATGTGTTCCCTGTTACTCCTTATGGTGGTAAGTTTAGGTTATAGATATGGCCTTCAGTCAAGACAGTAGATGGGTAACAGTTAGTACACATAGAGGTACAACACATGTGTTTCCAGTAACTCCTTATGGTGGTAAGTTTGGGTTATAGAAATGGTCTTCAGTCAAGACAGTAGATGGGTAACAGTTAGTACACATAGGGGTACAACACATGTGTTCCCTGTTACTCCTTATGGTGGTAAGTTTATGTTATAGATATGGTCTTCAGTCAAGACAGTAGATGGGTAACAGTTAGTACACATAGAGGTACAACACATGTGTTCCCTGTTACTCCTTATGGTGGTAAGTTTGGGTTATAGATATGGCCTTCAGTCAAGACAGTAGATGGGTAACAGTTAGTACACATAGAGGTACAACACATGTGTTCCCTGTTACTCCTTATGGTGGTAAGTTTAGGTTATAGATATGGTCTTCAGTCAAGACAGTAGATGGGTAACAGTTAGTACACATAGAGGTACAACACATGTGTTCCCTGTTACTCCTTATGGTGGTAAGTTTAGGTTATAGATATGGCCTTCAGTCAAGACAGTAGATGGGTAACAGTTAGTACACATAGAGGTACAACACATGTGTTCCCTGTTACTCCTTATGGTGGTAAGTTTAGGTTATAGATATGGCCTTCAGTCAAGACAGTAGATGGGTAACAGTTAGTACACATAGAGGTACAACACATGTGTTCCCTGTTACTCCTTATGGTGGTAAGTTTAGGTTATAGATATGGTCTTCAGTCAAAACAGTAGATGGGTAATAGTTAGTACACATAGAGGTACAACACATGTGTTCCCTGTCACTCCTTATGGTGGTAAGTTTAGGTTATAGATATGGCCTTCAGTCAAGACAGTAGATGGGTAACAGTTAGTACACATAGAGGTACAACACATGTGTTCCCTGTTACTCCTTATGGTGGTAAGTTTAGGTTATAGATATGGTCTTCAGTCAAGACAGTAGATGGGTAACAGTTAGTACACATAGAGGTACAACACATGTGTTCCCTGTTACTCCTTATGGTGGTAAGTTTAGGTTATAGATATGGCCTTCAGTCAAGACAGTAGATGGGTAACAGTTAGTACACATAGAGGTACAACACATGTGTTCCCTGTTACTCCTTATGGTGGTAAGTTTAGGTTATAGATATGGCCTTCAGTCAAGACAGTAGATGGGTAACAGTTAGTACACATAGAGGTACAACACATGTGTTCCCTGTTACTCCTTATGGTGGTAAGTTTAGGTTATAGATATGGTCTTCAGTCAAGACAGTAGATGGGTAACAGTTAGTACACATAGAGGTACAACACATGTGTTCCCTGTTACTCCTTATGGTGGTAAGTTTAGGTTATAGATATGGCCTTCAGTCAAGACAGTAGATGGGTAACAGTTAGTACACATAGAGGTACAACACATGTGTTCCCTGTTACTCTTTATGGTGGTAAGTTTAGGTTATAGATATGGCCTTCAGTCAAGACAGTAGATTAGTAACAGTTAGTACGCATAGGGGTACAACACATGTGTTCCCTGTTACTCCTTATGGTGGTAAGTTTAGGTTATAGATATGGCCTTCAGTCAAGACAGTAGATTAGTAACAGTTAGTACGCATAGGGGTACAACACATGTGTTTCCAGTAACTCCTTATGGAGGTTTGTTTAGGTGTCTGTTTATTTTAAAAGGTTCACATAGGGGTAGACAAGGAAGGGCTATAATTCTGTCCAAAAAATATATTAAACTAGAACAAAATTCTTGTGTTGTAAATTTTCTAGATACAAAAAAACAACCTCAGTACCAGCAGACAAGTTGTAGAAAAGTGTTGACAATTATAATTTTTATAAGATTTACAAGACTTGGGTCTTTAATTCAGTCAAAATAATAATAAAAATGGCAGGAATTACCAAAAATATTGGACCCAACAACACAGGTGTTCTAAATGGAAAAACTCATATACAGAGAAGCAAAACAGAACAAAATAGGAATATAGATAGCCTGAGTTGCTATAATCTCAAAATAAGGAACATAGGGTTGAAATAGTTATGTTGATATTCATTGTCCCTGCTTGGTTTTGATTTTATAAATTATATGATTCATCTCCATTATTGATCTTAAAGTTTGATTGTTGACAGAAAAACTGGTCATGAAATCCTCCAAGAAATCATCTCATTCTAGTTTTAAAAATATTTTTGATAGTAATTTTTATTATAGGTAGTATAAATGTCAGAACCCACTGTAAAGCTAGAGTTGTCAACAGAGCCAGTCGATTTCATAAGAGTGCTGGTATAGATGATATGGACCATCCAAGGCCTGAAAGAGATAGTCCAATTCTATCTGGTAGTCCAGGGTCTACAACAGGTACAAGGTTTTAGCATTGTTACTACACCTTTCAATATAAAATCAGGCAAATAACAAAAAAATACTTGAAAGACATTCAATCATTTCATATTTATATGTGCTGAGAAACTGTGAAACCTGATTGTGTTGAACTTTTGTGTCAGGACATACAATTGATTCTTAGATATTGAGGATTTATAGATTATCATTGGTTATCTCAACAAGATTGATTTTTTCGCTTGAGCCGGTATGGCGAAAGCGAGAAAAGCAATCGAGTTGAGATGACCAATGATAATCTGTTTATCGCTATTTTACCTATGAAGGCGTTGTTAATTTCCTTGACAACGGCACGTGTTCCCTTAGTTTCTAGCGATAATTTTCATATCACTCGACTCCGCTGAGAACGGAAATTATCAGTCAACAAGATCAAAGGAAAAATTTCGTAAAATAGCGATAATCAGTATGATTTTTGGAATACCATTTTGTGTGAATTTCATAGGTTAAGGTGAATCTCAAAATTTAAGTGTTAAACGCAATACACATTTTCTATAGGCTTGTATGCAGACTGGCAAAACCACAAAATCAAATATCCAAGAAAATCAATCCACGAAAATTGGTACCCCACAAAAATACACGAATCCTTAGTAACTAAAACATGTACATGGCATAATCTTAACAAAATGTCTCTAAGGTTCAGGCTAGACAGGTTACACTGTTTCAATGCTGGATAAAAATGTTTTATCACTACTGAAAATAAAAAGACTATTTATAAAATAATGGAACATATAATTGCCATAATAATTTCTCGAAAGTTTTTCAGATTTTATGTCTCATATTTTTAACTTATACTGAAGTAAAAGATTGATAAGCAGAAGAAAACCATTTCTGTGAGGAATGTACTAATAGTGATCTTGACAAAATGCTTATTTAGGATTTTTCTGCAAACAATCACAGTAGACTGAGAAATACATTTTATAAACAATATCAACAAATTAAGGATTAAAATCAAATCAAAGGTATGAAATGTTTTAGGGCTAAATTTGTATGGCATCATTTATTTTCAGGTGGAAACTATGACAACTATCCAAGCCTGATAAGACAGAATGCTCTTAATAACAACATCGAAAATCCACGACTGCCACCATACCCACATGCCACACAGATTTATCCCTTGTCACAGATCAAACAGCCACTCATGCTGGCCACCAGTATAGGAGGGAAGTCACAAAGCCCAACCCACACACCTAGTGGCAAAGATAATGTTGTTGTGGTGAATGCATGTTTCTCTACCCCACGGCTGTGGATTGGAGGGAATCCTAGTGTATCTGTAGAACACAGAGGTAGATTACCAACTTATTAGTTCAAAGTCCAAATGTTCGAAAACAATGGACTAATTCTAAAATTTAATTTCTGTCCAAAAAAATATTGTTATACAGTCTCAACGTCCTTATAAATGGCGTTTAAACCAACTAGAACATCAAAAACACCAGTGTTGCCATTATTTAATATCATTTCTGAATTAATCAATCATTCATTTGATAATTGCAGTGCATTCTGCATGATTTAACCACTTTGGATCAAGTTTTCAACAATAGGCTTTTGGTAGTGAATTGGAGAAATATGAGTTATTGGTGAATGAACAGTCAACTTTCCCTAAGTAAAAGTCTTCATGATGAATGCCTGCTTGTCTCCACTCCTGAATATCATTTCTTGATTGAAGTGAGCTTCAAAATCAAAAGTTGGAATGACTTTTTCATGACGTTCTTTAATATTTATGATGGATATTATCATGGTTTTAAAAGATTCGCATTAAAAAATTATATAGACTACCTTGCCATCCATAAATGCAGCTATCATTTAGTTAAGCTTTTTTCTTGAATCATTGTTCTGGAACTTTTCATAAGAATATTTAAATGTATCTTTCTTATCTAAATGCTGTTGTAATGTAAAAAATATTTTGTTTACAGAGGGTAAAAGGGTAGTAGATTCTCTTTTTGTGATGAGTCAAACTGGTATGTTGTCAGAGTACATCCTGGAACCCCGAGCTAAGGTTGGACTAGACAAGGTATCAGGAGATAGCCCTCTCGAGCTGGTTGTCACAGGATATACACAGTGGACTTTACAGAGGTATATTATATGAATATTAAGTCTTTAATTTCATGCATTTGGCATGAACAGAATACATTATTTATGTCATTTTTGCAGGGTGTTAATGTGTTTTCAATTTTTTATGGTGGATGATCTGTTTTTTGGAAAATTAGTGCACATGTTTACAAATGTTTACCATTTGAAGCAATTTGGCCTAAGAGAATAAGCCTTCAACACAAAAATAAATGGTGAATTGTGACCTCTTGTGAGAGGTAGATTGACAAAGTTATTACTGTTCTGACATAATTTGAAGGGTTTCTGTTGAGATCACCTTCATAAGAGGTGGACTACCACAATTTACATATTTTAAACATTGACTGATTATGTTTTCTTTTCAGATCAAAGACATCAGATGATATAAAGCTCCCCCTTACAAACAATAACCCACTCATACTGTCTTGTGAGGCTGTTCTGACTCAACAACCATCGGCATTATGTGGTGGGTATTTATTACAGAGGTTTAACATCCTATAATGCTTGGTAAACATGTCCCTTAGTCCTTGTTATTTATCAGTTGAATTTGGTTGTATATTTATTTTCAGTAACAAATTGATTTTTTTTCAGCGACTTTTAATTTCATGATTTCAAGAGCGCAACTTATTTGGGAGGTATAATTTCCAGGATTTATCTTGTCCCTGAATTTGATCTTCCTTTAAGATGCGATTGCAGTTTTTTGTCTCGCCTTGACGGAGTCAAAAAACGAGACGTAGGTATGCTGTTTCAGGCGGCGGCGGCAGCGGCGTCAACAATGTATTAGATTGTGATTAGGTCTAGTTTAAGGTGAACCACTAGTGGTTGGTCAATGATATTTGGTACGCAATTGTATAAGCATTAGCACATCTCATTTCCATGGAGAATATTTGGTCCCGCCCCCTCAGTCATGGTCTATTGACTTTAAAACTTTTACTTAGTTTACATGTATTAGTTTGTGATTAGATCAGTTTAAGATGAACCGCTAATGTTAAGTCAGTGATATTTGGTATGCAAATTTATTGGCATTTGTAAGTCTCGTTTCCATGGAGATTATATAGCCCCACCCCCTCATCATGGTTCATTGACTTTGAAACTTTTACATAGTTTACAAGTCAATGTTTGTGTTTAGGTTTGTTGAAAGGAAATGACTTATGATAAGTCTATGGTATTTGGTATGCAGTTGTATTAGCATTGGCACATCTCATTTCCATGGAGATTGTTTTGCCATGTACCTTCAGTCATGGTTCATTGACTTTGAATATTTGCATAACTTACATGTTAAAGTATTGCTATTTTAATTTCAACATTTGCATTATCAAAAGTACAAAAAGGCGAGACATATCTTTGTGTTAACAGTTTATCTTGATTTTATCTTAATCGCCAAATTAGCCAAATTGAAACATTCACGAAAAATTTCCTACTTTACAAATTACAGTATACAAATAAATTTTCTATGTTATAGCTAAGTCATTCAAAAATTTAATACAACATTTTGGATATTAGAAATTCAGTTTAGATTACCTCAACAAAATATTTTGAAATATAACAATGCTATTGCTGGTGAATTTCAGTTTACATTTTTATGGGTTATGGTCCTTGATTATGAGTTGAATAGACAATTTTTTTTTAAAGAAAAGCACTCCTTAAGTTCATTTGGTTGTTTTTACTTATTTTAATAAATAATGCCCCTTGTTAGAAATAATTAATATAGCATAATCTAATACTTTTGATTTAGTAAGTTTGGTTTCTCTCAATGAGATACTTCAATTTATCATATTTATTTTGAGCCTGATTTGCAGGTTTTATTGTTAACCCTTGATTTGGCCCCATTATAATCTGACATTTACACATTTTTTTGGTTTATGTTTTAACTGTCTTAATTATCAATTCTTTAAATGATTGATTTTTTATTATTTTTACAGATACAACAGGTTTGATATTCTTGGCACTATAATCTATACAAAACCAATCTCCACACAGCATGCACTACCTGAAATCTTTTACAAATATAGCAAAAACTGTAGGCCATAGAAATTAATTTTTAGATTTTCATCCCTTTCCGAAAACATTCTCAATCGACTGTATTTTATCTTCTATATCATTTATAGTATTTTGAGTTCAAATTTAGGGGAATGTTTTGATCTTGTACCTTATATTCAAAAATACTTAACCAGTTGTAAATTGAAGTTTAGGCAATAGATCACAATATTTTTTTCTTAATTTTTCAACAACTTCTTTGTTACTTAAAAAAACAAATACGATGAACTGGTCCCTTAGTCACATTAGTCCATTTTACATCTAGACAAAAATGGAGCATTGAAAATTTTTCAGGTCCTCTTTGTTGAATTATATAGATAAATTATCACTGGTCTATGGGGCCAGTATATCTAAGTATCATTGGATACTGGGCTTGCAAGATTTTACAGGTTCTGTCAAAAGGTCTAGAAGGTTTCATTGTGAGTGTCAGAATTTTTTCACTAGAATTGTTGTTTTCACCATTCTAATATTTTCAGGTGTGAATATTCGGCACACTTTACTAATAAAGGGGAGAAATGAAGGATATGTTAAGAACATTGCAGGCCGATGAATAGTTATTTTTTGTCAAGTCTAAATTTTTTCAGAAGATACAAAACTAAAATGAAATAATAAAGCCCTACTGTGCTTCTCATGTTTTTAAATGATAAATGAGAATCTAAACTAGTTTGTTTTTATGGCCTAAATTTCCTCATTTCAATACATGTGTAATCTGATATCTAGATAACTCTATTCATTTAAGTATATCAGCCATCAACTGTTTGTAGCTACATGTATATCCACATTTTGGTGGAATGCTTATGTATATGGCTGTAGAAAATTGCTATTTAAAAACAATTGGGAGTTGCCTTGGGTCTAATCCACTGCTTTTCTCTAATTCAGCTTTTATTTATATTTACCATTTGGGAGACTGCATTTCGATATCTGCTAGGGAGACATTCCATTGTATAAAATATATCCTATAAAAAAAGTATTATTTATGACTATCTATTCTATTAGTTTGTAGAATTGTTATTGTTTTGCTAGATCTTTACTTTGATGATATGAATTAATTATTTTTTGTTTTGTATTGTATAACATAGATTTCCAAAATAAATGAGGTTTGATAATACTTAAATTGTTCATGGATATTTTTAAAAACAGAGAATAGCAAGTGAAAACCAGGGAAGGGATATTTTGGTTTTATCATGCTGTTATTCCTAATTTTAAAACTTTTTTTCAAATTACAAGGACACAATGTCTGTCTATTTAACACAAACATCATCATAAAGTTGTCTTTAGTGATATCTTAACATGTTTTGTAATATTGTGGATTGATTATCATGCCGGGAGTACCAATTTGGTGGATTTCATGGGTATAGGTAAACGTCGAATTGAAAATAAGATGTACAAATTTTCTTTAGGCTTGAATGCAGACTTTGGCAAAACCATGAAATCATAGATCCATGAAAATACAATTTTTACTCAATCCACAAAAAATAAATGAATCAACAATATATTTAATTTGGTTTTGATGCAGATTTCTGATAGTCTCTGTTTTATATGTTTGCAACAGTTACTGTTCTATATTTTTGACAATGTTGAGCTGGACATATTCTTTTATTCATGATAAGTATGATATATTTACAGATGAGATATCAGCTGTACCCAGACATGACTCGAAGGAAAGTCTTTCATCAGATCATGGTGTTAAAGACATGGATATAGAAGACCAATGGTTATCACAGGTTAATAATGAGATTTTGTTTCCTATTCACTGCATGCCAATAAACATTAAACCTTTAAATTTCAGATTCAGAGTGTACAACTCTTCAATAGCTGGTCTTTTTTGCACTTCTTTTTATGCCCCACCTAGGGGCATTTATGTTTTTCGGGCTCTGCGTCCGTTCGTCCGTCCGTCTGTATGTCCTGCTTCAGGTTAAAGTTTTTGGTCAAGGTAGTTTTTAATGAAGTTGAAGTCCAATCAACTTGAAACTTAGTACACATGTTCCCTATGATATGATCTTTCTGATTTTAATGCCAAATTACAGTTTTTACCCCAATTTCACGGTCCACTGAACATAGAAAATGATAGTGCGAGTGGGGCATCCGTGTACTATGGACACATTCTTGTTTTTTTTTTTTTTAACAATTTCAACTAATCAAACCTTGAAACACAATATAAATATAAAGAGATGTGGTATGATTGCCAGTGAGACAACTATCCACAAGAGTTTCAAATGAAGTGGAAGTAAGCAACTATAGGTCACCATACGTCCTTCTACAACGATAAAACCCATAACGTATAGTCGTATAGTCAGATATAAACGGCCCCGACTAGAAAAATGTAAAATTTGAACCCATTATACACCTGTTTAATTCCATTTCATCCTTGAAATTTTTGCAAAGGGAAACATCTCCTTGGAAGGACACAGTGTGTTCCCTGTTAATGAAAATCTTATGGAAAAGCCTGTTTTATGTACATACAATGTTAATTAGCATTCTGTAACCATCAATTTTGTAATCCCATTTTTACCATGAATATGTGATGCACTTCCAAAGTCAAAATTATTGTAAGATCTTGCACAGAACTCCATGCTGCATACTATTCTATCAACTTGTACAGGCACCACATATATTTATCTGGCATTATCATCAGTTGTTGAAGATTAACAATAATAAATTAAAAATTAATAATGGGAATTGACAGTTGGAGTTGATAGCTAGCTTGTTTGTTTTTATTGTCCACCTCTGTAATTATTTTTGTACTTTCATTTATTTTTTCTTGTCCACCTCTGTAATTATGTATACACTTTAATTTATAGGTAGAGATTATAACACACATTGGACCGCATAGAAGACTTTGGATGGGACCACAATTTTCCTTCAAGACTTACCAGAATGTACAGAACACCACTGTCCTGTCAGCTCAGTCCTCAGCCCTATTATCACAGACACCTGAAACCAATGTGCAGGCCATGGATGTCATCAGTGACGATGTTAATCTAGAAAGTTTAAAGTATGTCCCATTAAGTAAAAGTTCTTTTATTTTGTATTTAACTCATCCTTTTGTGCCAGAAAATAACATGCACAATCGTGAGTAAGCCCAAAAAAACAGTCGTGGAGTGCTGTCAAGCTATTCAGAGGAGGATTTAGGGGTAGGGGGTAGGGGCACCTCCTGTTCCTGTCCAAAAGTTGCCAAGTTTTGTGGCCCCAGGATACTAAGGATAATATCTCATGAGCTTTTATTTTTTAAGCTTGAATATTTTGATAGTAATATTTAATACATGTACAATATGCTTGGTTTCCTTCAGAATACAGCCTGCTAGATCAAGTCCAGTGGCTATGCCTAATGCTAGACCAGCCTACAGAAGACTATCAGGGAGTGATAGTACACCTCCTACAAGTAAAGGAGGACAACATATTAGCCCTTTGTTGATAGAGGCAGGTCAGTATTTTTACCAATTTTTAGCATTTTTATGTGATTGTTTAATGCCATTTTTATTATTAGATACTATGGACTAATATTCATGTGTGGGATTATATAAGTTTTCTATAGAATTTTTATACAACCGCAAAAAAATTTTGAGGTCGTATATTGGTATGACGTTGGCGTCGTCGTCGTCGTCGTCCGAAGACACATTGGTTTTCGCACTCTAACTTTAGTTAAAGTGAATAGATCTCTATGAAATTTTACCATAAGGTTCAATACCACAAAAGGAAGTTTGGGATTGATTTTGAGGGTTATGGTACCAACAGTTAAGGAATTAGGGGCCAAAAAGGGGCCAAAAATAAGCATTTTTGTAACTTCCAGACATAACTTGTGTGTTTGTGTATGGATCTCTCTGACATTGTACCACAAGGGGCAAAAAACAAGCATTTTTCTAGTTTCATGATAATAACTTGTGTGTAAGTGTATGGATCTTTATGAAATTGTACTACAAGGTTCCATATCACAAAGGGGAAGCTGGAATTGCCTTTGGGGGTAATTGCCTCAAAATTTTAGGAATTAGGGCCAAAAAAGAGGCAGAAAACAAGCATTTTTCTAGTTTCATGATAATAACTTGTGTGTAAGTGTATGGATCTTTATGAAATTGTACTACAAGGTTCCATATCACAAAGGGAAAGCTGGAATTGAGTTTGGGGGTAATTGCCAAAAACGTTTAGGAATAAGGGGCCAAAAAGGGGCAAAAAATAAGCATTTTTCTAGTTTCCAGACAATAACTTGTGTTCAAGTGTATGGATCTCTCTGAAATTGTACTGCAAGGTACCATACCACAAAGGGAAGGCTGGGATTGATTTTGGGGGTAATTGCCTCAAAATTTTAAGAATTAGGGGCCAAAAAGGGAAAAAAAAACTAGCATTTTTCTAGTTTCATGACAATAACTTGTGTGTAAGTGTATGGATCTTTCTGAAATTGTACTACAAGGTTCCATATCACAAAGGGAAAACTGGGTTTGAGTTTGGGGGTAATTGCCCTAAACGTTTAGGAATTTTGGGCCAAAAAGGGGCCTAAAAACAAGCATTTTTCTAGTTTCCAGACAATAACTTGTGTTCAAGTGTATGGATCTCTGAAATTGTACTGCAAGGTACCATACCACAAAGTGTAGGCTGGGATTGAGTTTTGGGATGATGAATCATAAGGGGGTTCAAAAAATTTGGGGGAGGGATTTTTTTTTCCTTTTTTTTCCTTTTTTTTTTCTTTAAAATTTTCCATTTTAAATTGGTTATTTCTGATTTATATATAAAAGCAAATAATAATGATATGGTTTGAATAGGTAAATTAAAATTTTTCAAGTTCTTAGACCACATTCATTCTGTGTCAGAAACCTATGCTGTGTCAAATATTTAATCACAATCCAAATTCAGTGCTGTATCAAGCTTGAATGTTGTGTCCATACTTGCCCCAACTGTTCAGGGTTTGACCTCTGTGGTCGTATCAAGCTGCACCCAGCGGAGCATTTTATTTATTATACAGAAATTCAAGTATTAAAAGAGACTCAATTTTTTCTCCATCCATAAAAATTAGTATCATTAAAAAAGATTAATACACAGTACTACAATCAGCAACTTGTAGCTTAGAAACATAAATGGTGATCAGAAGGAACTCTTGAAAATGTATTAATTGATTTAAATTTTATTTCATGTCTTCAAAACTTAAACAAGTACACAAGATAAACAGATACTTGATTTGCTTCTTCTATTTTTAAGATTCCTTTCATATGGAACACTTCCATCATTGTAGGTAACAAGAACGCAATTATTTGTTTACATTTTACCAGCAAGTTTTTTACCCCAAGATGGTACTCAGAATAGAATCTTATACAGCTTCTGATTCGATGATACAGGATTGGAATTACTTTTAATCGAAAGCTTATCTAATAGACAACTTTTGAGTTCAATGCATTTCCGTCAAAAACTTTGGTTTTAGTGAACATCATTCGTGCGTTTAGGGGCATCGTCACTTCCGTTCCCATGTTGAGCGAGTGGTTGGAAAACTTTAATGCTATATTGCACATATTATTCGGAAAATTGAATTCTCATAATTGACAATCAGCACTGCTGTCATTAGGGAATAGTGATTAAGTACATACGGAACAAACATTATTTCTAGTTTATCATGCACACTGACGATCACTAAGATGCTTGATGAACGTTAATAGTGCAGGGATACAGGCAATCCCCTCTATCTTGTAAATGACGTCATAAAGACGCGCATAATTGAAGAGTTTTTTCTGGTGAAGGACAAACTCGAAAGTGGTCATTAGGTTTAAAAAATCCAGAAAATCAAATTCACATTTTACAAAGTATAGAAAATATTTTCAATATCTGCATGTCAGAGCCATTAAAAATCTGCCTTTTTGGAAAATGACGCTATCAGCGGCATGTTTCCGATACCATTGACCAGAACTAACGGAAGTTGATTATGCCTCCGCCTACCGCACTCGGTTTCATATTTACTATTTTACATACTAACTGGAATCTGCTTGTATTACGCTACACTCGAACAAAGTCTTTGTTAAAGTGTTGTAGTCGGACGGGAACCAGTTTACATACGTTATTTTATTTACCAAAAAGATATCTTGACCTGTCCATATGTTTTTTGTTATTAAATGGTATTTGGAGCTATCCCGTTTTTATAGTTTTCATATTTATTCGAGCTTTCACTTTTATGCACATGTCTTACAATCGTAAACAATCGGTATGTATACATGATAAATAGATCCGTTTTGTTATGGTGTTGGACTTTTTACCCTCCAATGATCAGCAATCGCTAGACAAAATAGTTCTCCTAAATAATGTCAGCCTTTCATGCCATTTCAACTTTACAATCATTAAAAAAGTAATAATCGAAATCATTTTGATATCCATTGGATAGAAACTGGTCTTTATCAAGATTTACGAAGATTTTAATAATCGGAAATTAGTAATACGGTTATACCCACGCGGTGCGTATGAATCTTTGTTCACAAAGTTATAGCAGCAGAGTCTGTAACTGTATCATTATTAATTAACTACACTGTTATTGTACTTAAAATGATGAAAACTGCATATGCAATATAAGATGTCAACTCGGCCAATACAGATTTTTTTTCCGTATTGGCCGAGTTCTGATCCGGCCAAAACAGGATTTCGGAACGTCTCTAGTTTTTAGATCGTAAGTCACGATAAACTCAAACTGAAAGTAAACAGTTGTTTGTACGACGCAGTTTTTATTTACTCACCATAAACAAGCTGAAACGTTCAGTATGGCATATATTTTAGGTTAAAGACGGTCCCATTCATTTGAAAAGCATTTTGAAAGTAGACGATGGAAATATTTCAGGTTTAGGGAACGAGTAAATTATCACAAAGTTCATTTCTTGACGACCTCATAATTTCATCATGTCGATTTTTACTGTTCACCTTCGCTTCTCGTGTTTTGTAAACGGTCTTTTATTTTTAAACCCGAACCAGGCATATGCATTCTGTAATTGCGCAAATCTTCGTTCTTTGGTCAATTGGCTTATGGATAGTTGTATCAATTTCAACTCTTACATTATTTTTTTTTTAAATATATTTGCATTACACATGCAATGGCAGTACCTTTCCAATTACTATTTATGTGTTGTGTCTAAATTAAAGTTGTAACACTTTATAGTGACTGGAAAGGGTAGAAAAATTCATCAGATGAGAAAAGGCTGAAGATGCATGGAAACGGCACCAAATCATTAGATATTGCATCTTATAAAAAGAAACTGAGATTTGGATAGTTCCACTTCAAGGTAAAAATGTTTATCTCTTGTGAAATGAAATAAAAAAAATATTGTAACACTGTAGTTAATTAATAAAGATACTATTACATGTATTTCTGTATTGGCCTTATTGTTGGTCCTCGGCCAGCAGTATTGGCCTTCGGCTTCGCCTCAGACCAATACACCAAGACATGGACCAATAACAAGGACAATACAGAAATACTTACGCAATAATATTATAGAATGACAGTATGGTTCAATAGCGGGAATCAGCCCCTCAACTACTTTTTACATAAATATTAACTTCTGGCTTCAACTCCTTGTTCGTCTTGTCTGGAGATCTTGTTGTAGTTCCAGTTAGGCAAGCATTTTAGAGACGTATCCCGTCCATCCTCTCTTGACTTGTAATTTCTGGTGATAGATTTTGCCGCTTGACGTTGTATCTTTTCAAGCTTGTTTTTTTTTTGTTACCGTGTAGGGGTCCCATACTATGGCTCCATATTAAATTGTAAGATCCATTCCTAAAGGTCTAGATCATTGTTCTAATCTGACACAAATTTCAATAACTGGAATGCTACCCGAGTTGAATATATGGTGACCTACTAGAACAGCATTATCACTATTGGAATTGTGTTTAATACCATGATTGTTCAATGTCATTAACTTAAATGGAGACAGGCATTTGACCTGAAAGGTGGTGTGGGAGTGCAAAATCAAAAACTAACTGACTATGATATATGGTTAAAGAATGAATATCAATTACATGGGTCAACATGGTCAAGGGCAGAGTTGTTATGAAATAACAATATGGCAGAGAAGTGGTTTCAAGTTTCATATAAAGCGACCTGACTGACATGAAATAAAAAATCAAAGGAGTATCCCTATTTGTCTAATCTTCAAGGTGAAATAAAACTAGTAAAACAATATTACACTATTGTCTAAATCTACAGAAATATAATTTGCTTCAAGTAACAGAAATAACTAGGTCACTAGTAACTTATTTAATGAGTATGTGGGGTATAAGAGCTTGATAACAACAGGCTCTTCATAATCATTTGGTTTGAAAAGGATACTAGTAGTCTATATTCTTGATTTAGAAAAATGTAATTGCAAGACAAAAATCACATTACTTAGAATACTTCAGATCATTCAGGTAGTCTTTATTTATATGTACAAAAGAACAGCCAGTAGTCATTGGATATTGTAGATCATTCAAATAGTCTTGACCTATTTATTAGTACAAAAGAACAGCCAGTAGTCATTGGATATTGTAGATCATTGTGGTAGTCTTGACCTATTTATTTATAGAAAAAAACAGCCAGTAGTCATTGGATACTGTAGATCATTCAGGTAGTCTTGACCTATACATTTGTACTAAAAAAACAGCCAGTTGTCATCTTCACATAACACACACATATACGAATATCAATTATATGCTTATGAGACATGTTGGAATGTTAAACTAATAACGTTATGTGAAAATCAAGACTTGCATAAAAAATATCACAATATTAGAGACAGTGGCGTCATTTTTCCTCAGAGCTTTCAGCTCTTTGATTTTATTAAGCGAAAAAAATAGACGATGTTTTTCAACTGCATTTTAAGTCAGTTTTTGCCACATGACCATATATATTTTTTTGGTTGTTATGCAACACTGACATTTCTAGTAACAGGAACTGCTACCCATTTTTTCCTAGTTTGTGTAGTCTTCGAGAAAAAAAATATGGAACACCACTGGTACCCTATGGAAAATGCATTACGAATAATTGCACTATTGTAACCTGTAGATGACATATGGTGATGCCATGTTGAATCAGAGTTGTCTTTCTTTGATCACATTAAAATAGCAGTATTGGAAAAACTGAAAATTTTCTTTCAAGGCTCTCTGAAAATAAACTCCATTTTGTCCTTTAGGAAGTTTTGACCAGTCTCCTAATCTGTGTGATGTGTACAGTAGTTGGGCTGAGTCAACAGTAACCAAACCTCGAGGTAGTGAGGATGATGAGGACAGAATCAGAGAAACACTAGCAGAGGCCATGTTAGAATCTCCAGCTAAAGAATCTGGACCATCTAGTATGATGAATGGTAAGGAGTTCAAGTCAATCTATATACCAATCTCAAGTTGTTTTTGTATGAATGAGTTACACAGGTTAGACCGAGGTCAACTCTTGTCAACCGGCTTAAACATCATCATCAAACAATCGGTTCTTACTGTGACCTAATATCATAAGCATTGTGACGTAAGAAATTTACAGGAAAGTGCACAAATTCGAAAGTAGTCTATATTCACCCTAAAGATCCTCACCACCCAGGACTTTATTTACCAAAGAATTACCTACTCTCTTTTGTTAATTGTGGATGATAGCTAACAACCCTAAACACATTGATTTTCCTTTTTTCCCAATGTTTTAATCCTAAATAATAATGTTTTGGCAATTATACATTGCTTTTTGTTGTGTTATTAGTGTGTAAAAGTTCTTTGCTGTTGCTACCCAATAAAACTACTCAAAAAAAGCATCCAATTCTTTTAATAACAGTATTGGAGTATGTAAGGGGGATCACTTGCAGAAATGGATATTGCCTTGTATTGGGACAAAAAACATCACTTTGAAATGACACATACTCATTGTCTGTCAATCAAAATGATTGCTTATATTTCAAAAGTAAAAGTATTGAATGCCTATTTAACTTGTTTTAGTACTTAATTAATTTCAAAAGCCATACTGCTTATTATCATGTAATATTTCAAATTTTGGATCATACATTATAGGTTTCTGAGACTCAGCTGTATTGGCTCTAAAAAAAATGCCCTGCTGGCTTTTTTTTAGGATAGATATGATATCATGAGTGACATATCAGCAATTGATATAACTTTGCCATTAAATATAAGGATTTCCTTGTTTTCTTTATTGTAAACAAGTGATAATATACACTTTGTCATTAACTTGAATTTGCTAAAATAGGACAAATACCTCCTCAATTATCATACTATATTTGATTTAAGAAATATCAATAGTTTCCATCAGCAGCTACATTCTTTTCATTCAATATAAGTGTTTTGATTTTAAAAAGTTAACAACAGAAGGACCATTTTAAACACCTCTTTCTAAAAAAACAAAGCAGAACTTCTGAAGTACATATTATTATGGTTTTGAAATTATCCTTAGAAACTTTAACTTTAATGTATAAAATCTAGAATAAAGAATAGCTCTTGTATACATGTATACCCCGGTAGTTATTATTTCATTACAACACAATGACAAAAATATGCCCAAAGTTTCGTTTGGTTTAACTCCCTTTGTATGTGATTTACCGCTGCATATTTTCAATAGCTACGATATATAGTGACACACAGACTTGGATTAAATTCATATCTTAGTTATACAGGATTGAATTAAAATATTCTGCACTTTTGGAGAGAGTCTTGTTGAAAATATTTTTGGTTTGAATGAAAGTTAGATGTTAAATAACTGTGGTCTGGCATGTTTTGTATCTCTTACATTATTTATTTCAAGAGAAGAACTAATTGAAAAAATTTATGATAAATCTGATTACATAATTATAGTTGTGAGGAAACTGTTTATGGCACAGCAACCCAAACACAAAATAAAACCAAATAAGACATTTGGAGGTCAACATACATTGAATTATAGACAATTGACAAGCTTTAAATTGCCATAAGTCTAAAGTTGTGAAGTATTCAACAGAGAATACCAAATAACTGCAATCAACACCAATGCCTAAATGAATTGATTGATTGATTGTTGATGTTTAAGGCCACTTTCAGCACTCTTGGCTATATCATGCCCAGAGAGAACTTCAGAAGAATTTGTGAAGTATTCAAAAGAGAATACAAAAGGACTTCCACAAACACCAATTCATAAATAAACACTGTTTAATTTGGAAAAAAATATCAGATATTTATGAAGATTTTTTTAAGTTGAAAATTGTAGAAAACACACTTTAGTATTTTATAAGGCCATTTTCAACAGCTTTTGAGTGTTTTTAATATTTGCTTGAATAAATAGCTTGAAACGAAGGAAAACAATAAACACAATCCTATCCTCTTTTTAATGTTATATTCACATGCTAATTAATGTCTTGCCATCACCAACAAATATTATTAACATGTTTTGTTGACATTACGAAAAAAAATTTTAATGAACATAGCAAAGTTATTCTCTTTTATGTTTGATAATTAATTTTGGCCTTTGCAATCTGTGTTGATATAAATTTCAGCAATCAGGTACTTTGATCTGCATTGTAGGGCCACAATTAAAAATATTTCAGTTTGCCCAAATCCGACCCATGATGACTGGGTTGTGGGTAGGTAGGTAGGCAAATTCTTTTTTTTTATCAGAATTTGCATGAAAATATTAAAACAGTATATCTTTTTTTTCCGTCAAACCTTTGTAAAGACAATCAAAAGCCATGAATTTAAGACCTCTATAAATTAGTCTACTATATAGAATTAAATCACTCAACAATAAACTGAACTTTATTTATAATGTGTAGACTTATACATGTTATACACAACATATATAAACACAGTAACAACGACCTCATCGGTTTTCCGCATGTCCATCTCATCAGGATTGGCAACCTCATCAAAAACATCATTCCAGGTTTTCTTATTGTTAAAGCGATAAGGCCTATTAGACACAATAGGCTTTATTTTTTGGTTTATTTTAAGTAGTACAGATGACGACAGCGTAAAAAAACTGTCTGCCATTTTCACATGTTTTACTTCTTTACTTTCATTAAATCAGAAGATAAAAACCGAGAACATCCAATATCGATTAACTGCGTCTCTTACACGCTTTCTTTTAATCTTATTCACAGTTACTTTCAAACGCAAGAATGACGAACATTAAGTTTTATACGATGACGGAGCGGACACGAAAAAAAATCTTAAAAAAAACGGCAAAAAAAGAATTTGAGTCGGCGTTTTTTTTTGGGTCTGTCGCATTTGGGCAAACATACAATATTTTTATTTTGGCCTAGATTATTTTTTCATAGGACCAATTTTTGTGAATTCAGAAAAAATTATCCTTTTCTATATTTGAGTTCTTTATTTCTTACAAATCCTTCATACAAGCCAATAAGTTAATTGTATTTTGTTGAACACTTCACTTAGTGGTTCATCTACACCCACAAAATTGATGAAGATAAGTTACTCACAAACGATAATGATTGATTGATTATTGTTTGCTTAATGTTCAGTGGCAAACATTTCATGCATAATAGGACAGGATCAATAATTATGAATGCATTGTATTCTATTTCTGCTTTGATAATGACCATCCATTTACATCAGGAAAATCTCTGTGACTTATTTTGGTCACAAACACAGGCATAAAGGATGCTTCATCTTCCTTAAAGGTTGTTTCATTCTCAAGTACTGACTTGTCATCCTTGAAACATCTATTTAGGTGGGCCTTGGTGGCCAAGTGGTGTAAGTTTATCTTGTGTATCACTAGCCTGCCAACAATGAGGTTGTGTGTTAGAACCCTGCAAGTGGCAGGTGCATTCAACTCCAATCCTTTTTCAATAGGATTGTCAGTTTCCCTGCCTAAAGTTTTGGTTCTTTCCGGCACTTCAGCTTTCTCCACCAATAAAAAATTGCCACTAGGATATAGCCAATAATGCTGAAAGTGGCATTAAACAACAATCAGTCAATGAATCTATCTATTAAGGCCACTGGTATTGCCTGTCATATTTTCTTCTTAAACATTTATGTCATAATATGTGGTACTGTGGCATTGACAGGATATATATAGCTACAACTGTTGTCACTGGTGTTTTTCAGTCACATACTAACGTTCCTTTGGTATCTGGTTGATAGTTGTCTCATTGACAATCATACCACATCTCCTTATTTTTATATAGATTATAAACAATTCCATAATGTTGTGTGTTGTCTGCAAAGGGGACATATTAAATTTTAAGGTTTTGATTAACTTCAAAATCAACAAATATTTTACCATACCCCATTTATGTGATATTTTCACTGCATTTTCAGAAAAAGTATAGCTTTTTTGAGAATTCTATCATTTCATTGTATTTCAAAGCAACCAAAACTCAGTATTTTATTGAAGACTTGAATTCCTGATTTTTCTGTACTAATGATATTTATGAGAGAATAAGAATTAATCATTGGAGTAAGTTTAACACTAGGGATTTATTGTTTCTTAAAGTTCTATTTTTTAGTCATAAATTCTACAAGTATTATACATGAAATTAAGGGTAACTTTTTAAATTTAAACCGTCTTTTAAAAAAAAATTAGATAAAGAAGAATAAAAAAACCCATCAAAAAGATGATTTTGATACTATCTTTGTGATAATGGAAAGTTTAGCTTAGGTCATTAACAAACCCACATGATGAAGAGTGAGTTATTAGATGTTTTTTGTAATGTATGACATTATTACTAATTGGGAATTTCCATTACGGTCATAATCCTGGTAAAAAGTTAGTTAAAATTAAAAACCATTAAAGTCCATGTGCCCAGGTGTATTGGTAAGATTTGATAGTTATTAAATCAACTATGGATGGTAGAATAACAGATTTCGTTAACAAACTATTACAATTTAATACCCCGATTCAGAACTTCTCTGATTACAAAGTAACAATACGTAAGGAATTAACGGATCCGTTGGAATAAAAGAGATATAACTATGTGGAGAATTGCCACCCTGAGGTCTTATACCTACAATATATCGTTTATAACAAAGTCATTATCCGGAGGCCATCAAAAAGACTTTAAAATGAAGAATGAAACAGCAGTTTATTATCAACGCCAGTAATTAAAATTGGTATTACTATTATAACGGTAATTCTTTATATATCGGCTTACATTAGCATGCTACGGTTATTAAGGTAGCGAGCACAAGGGAAGTATAAATACGGGTTTAATACGGTATCATCAGAAAGGGATATTCCATCTTGTTGATTTCAATCATTATAATTTAGAATTTAATGACGTTGGTGGTTATTGAAAAAAAAAATCATACTGTACATGTAATATTTTAAGGCTGTCGATTAAAGGGAGTTATTACATCTTTGATGTGGATATAAATGTGATGTTATTGTAAGTATCAAGATCAGGTGTTCTTCTTTCTTGTCAGGAAAATATGAGGGCAAAAGTACCAATAAATACCACAAAACATCGTCTTTATTTCACATCTTTATATCTGGTTTTTACAAAAAAAATTTCTTGTAATATTTTCAAATGGAAATTTCATGGAATGTAGTCATTTTCTTTGTTCTTATTTTAGATGTTTATGGTTTAAATTAGAAAACCAAATAAAATATGGATAAGATTTCCATGAAACCAAAACCATACAATACAATGCAAGATTTCGGGAGGCAGATGTTAGATTTGGGCACATTGGGCATACATCTATCTACCAAACAAAAGGAACAGTTAAAAGCATACAATATTTCACATTCAACCAATCATATATAAAAATGTCAATTTTCTTCCAAGTGGTCAATTTTCTTTTAAATTTCATTTAGAGATATAAACATAATCATTTTAAACAAAAAGAAAACATGTTTTTAAACCAAAATTGATCAGATGGAACTCTACTCAAGTCAAGGTCAACTGAAGCAGGCTCTTCCATATGAAGAATATAGATTTAAATACCTACAGCTGTTTAAATAGATAGGTAAAATTCAAATTAAACAGACCTGTTGCAAAACTTGCAAGTTGATTAACTTTTGCAATAATTTGGGTGTAAAAGCTATTTTTCTCAGTTTTTTCTGTGTTTGATTCAAAGACCCTAACACAAATAATGGATGTGTTTATTTTTTAATAAGAGTACTTCATACTACAAAGTTATTAAGCTTTATAGCTTCTTTTTTAAGTAATCAATTAATAGTTTCTTTAAATTTAGCATTTCTGTAAAAACATGTGTTCTAAATGTAGTGGTTTCATGACTTTGGTCACTGTCCTGAGATGTACCCCACATCTCCCTTTATTCCAAGTTATCATTGAATTTATTTGACATATAGATAACATTAGAAATTAAATTGTATCTTGGTATTGTTAAACTTTAATTTTTAACTAATTTATTCTGTTAAAAAGATATGAATTTTTGTTAAACATTTTCCTTAAAATTCTGTGAAACATTTTATCAAATAAATATTTGGTTTAAATTTAGAATGCTGCAGTTTGATTATTGGTTTTTCTTTTTGGATTTTCCCCAATCAAGTGTCAGTATATTTTTTATTATTGCTATAAATGCTATTTTGTGTGGGTATCCCATGTTTGGAATTTAAAAAAATCTAATAAATTTAGCATTACAGTTAAATGATTGCTGCATTGTCCACATACAAATTAGAATGATTTGCAGTTATGAAATATGCATTTATAAATTTATTAATTCCAGTCTAACAATGACCTTTGACCTTTGGGGTTGATTATTAGAAATCATTCAAATTGATTTTTTGTAAATAAATATGAAAACAACTTTCGCCAGAATATTGGCACCTTATCGGAAATCATAGATGACATTTCAGATAAGGGAAATAGCAGATCTTTTGATTGATTTATGAATTAAATGGACTCTTTCGTACTTGGTAACTCTCGTGTCGAGTTAATTTTAACTTAATTTTAAAATTACTGATACCCATAATTATTTGAATTATGAAAAGTAGGTGACAAGTGTTTAAAATTTTGATTTAAAGTCTAATAAATCACACCCATTATTTCAAATTTTTCATTCATAATTTTTGTGTAATAAGTTTAATTCTCTGATTCTCACACTTGATCAAGCTGTAGGTCCGACAGAGTAAACACATTTAACAAAAGAAGTCACTGGTTTTATGAATTAAAATTATTTTGTCATACTTTCAGTCTAATTTTCAGGTGTCAAAATGTGGTTTTCACATAAGAATGCATAATCATAATTAAAACCAATCCTAATTTGTTCAACAAAATGGAAAATTTGGTGGTTGGATCAATTTTATGTATAAATGATTTTTAAAGTGCTTTGAGGGTTACATATATGACTCTGCAGGGAAAGTGCAGTTTATTTTCAGCTTTTGTAATAACTTTTAATTAGATTTAAATTTCATTTTAATGGAAGCATGAAATTCTAATCGAATTGGTTTCAAGGCCAGCACAACAAAACTTTATTGGACCTATTTAGACATGATTGTGTTGCACATCCACGTGTATGGAATTTCATAATCGGTCAATTGTTTTAAACTCATAGAAAATTTCTTGGAATTTCATTTATAAAAGTAATACAAAAATTACAGTGACTATGTTAAAGTTTTAGTATAATTCAAAATATTAATGTGTATTTCGAGATTTAAAATATTTCTATTTAGGCGTTATAACGCCTTCATGCTTTGTTTCAGATTGTTTAAATTTGGTATTAACTTTTAGTTACAAACTTATTTCCTTGAAAATATTCTGTTTTCTTATTATTTGTTATCATAAATTCACAGCATCACTTTATTTAGGCAAAGTACTTTTAAAATTGTTAACTTCCAGGAGGAGAATTATATGTAGTCTGAACATATATGGTAAACACTTAATTTAAACTAATGCTGTTTTCTCATTTCTTTGGAAATATTATACTGAAAATAATATTAAATTTTTAAAAGTGCATGAAAAAGTTTGTTTAAAATTGGAAATAGAATGAATATTGAAAGGATGTAAACAAGATGAAATAATCAAAAATCAAAGTAACAGACCTTATACCGGTAAAAGGGTAACAGTTCATCTTGGAAGATACTTGAATATCTTCGACTGTGAGCTAAAAAATTCATAGCCATCTTTACAAACAGACCCATGTCTCTTTAATAATATTAGACAGTTTGCACTGTTGTCTGTGATGATAGTTTTTCTCACCCTTCCAAATTTCAAATGAATTAAAAAAAAAACAATAGTCAAATTATGCTGGAATTGTAATTGCTGTTTCACCCAGGAGATTATCAGTATACCAAAGCTAACTTGGGTGAGAAATCTTAGTCTGTTTTGACCATAGTAGTATTTGACTACAAAGTCAAATAAATCAATTACATTTATTTTATCATTGTCTCTGTTTCAGAAGTATTTGATGGTAGTAACGAAAATCTAAGTACCAGTTCAAGTTCCAGTACAGGTATATCATTACCAAGGAGTGCTGAACAACATATACTAGATAATGTTTTTTCCATGGGCTCCCAGGATTCATCAGGTTGATAAACAAGTCCTGATACATTATTCATAAACTTAGAAGTTGTCCGACTGCCAACTACAAAAATCAGACATTTTGTGAAAGACATGAAATGGAACCATATCTGAAAATTTTGATTTAGAGCCATACCAATGTTATGAACATCATTGAATTAACTTGATCATAATTTGGCTTGATAATAATAACAATGTTATTTAATTTAGCATTTTATTTAATGTCAAGAATTTAACAACATCGTTATTTAATGTAACATTTTTAGCAACATTGTTATTTAATGTAGCATTTTAAAAATCATTGTTATTTGATGTAACATTTTTAAACACATTGTTATTTAAAGTAACATTGTCATTAAGTATAACTTTGTTATTAGATATAACATTGTCATTAAATATAACTTTGTTATTAGATATAACATTGTTATTAAATGTGGTAGACCATTGAAGTCATTTATGTTATGGTTAGAAGGGCAGGGAATTGACATTCTAATTCCCTCTTATATTTGTTAAATTTTATGTAATTTCAAGTAGTACATTGGCAGAACTTTCTTATTTGCTTGTGAACTTTTGATGTTGGGCTTTCAGATGACAATCTTGTCCTTATATTTATGTTGTACATGGCCAGTTGATAAAAATAGAAGACAGAGATAAACAAAAGAGTTATTTGGTATATTTTAAGCTGCCATTACTGGTACTTGCTATAGAGTTTAAATTAATAATATCTACAGACTTTCTGGATTTTTCGTCCAGATATTCAGTCCCTTTTCTAGTTGACCAGGCTGACAATCTCAAAATATCCAAATTTGTTTTCTCACAAGTCTGTTACAGTGTTTATATGCTTTAAATGCTGTAAAATCCCTTGCATCAATTTGCTTCTGAGGAAAACAAAAAAAGCTACAAAAACAAAGAAAATAACAACACAGAAAACTGGTTAATCAACCACATTTTGCACCTGACCAAGTAAGGCTATCAGGACCATGTGTTGTCAGCTGTTGTTTGTCTTTGTGTTTGTACATCCATTTTCTGGAAGAAGTTGTTTGTTGATGTGGTCTGTTTTATAGTCAAATATATTGGTAAAAACCTCACAAATGAGGATAACAAAAACTGAAATACACCGGGATTTTTTTTGTGTCTTTTCTACAGTGGTAGGAGGAATCTGTTTTTCTAGGCTGTGCATCCATATTTCCATTAGTCCATTTGTCTGTTCATCTGTAAATCAATTGTATTAGATCATTAAAGGTTTAATGTAGTTACCCATGAAGTTGTGGTCACATCAACATTAAACTTAGTACACATGTTGATGATGAAGTACAAATATTATTTGTTTGAACTATATGCCAAATTAGGGTTTAAACCCAGATTTTGTAGTTCATTTAACATGGAAATGTCATAGTGTGAACAGGGAATGGTGTCATATATATCTGATGTAGATATTTAATATTTAATTATTTTACAAAAAAATGTATGTTGCCCAATTCTTTTCATTGATAAATTATTGGTTTATTTTTTGGGTTAGTTAAGGAAAATAAATACATCATACAGTTAAGAGCTCAATAGACAAAGAGAGAAAAATTTGAAGCAGATTTAGAGTATTTATATATATATATATATATAGAATACTAAACTAAATGATGTTAATATGATCCAATTCATTTATAAAACTTTAAATTATTCTTCAAGGGATACATTTATTGGATAGGTAGCATTAACCTATGTAACATTTTAAAAAAAGCACTTGACTTAAATAGACCATTAATACTCACAGTATCTCTAAATAGTACAAAGAAAGGAATTGTGACTTAAAATGGTATATATGTTTATTATTGTTAATAATATCAAAGAAGATAGTATCTTAGCTCAATGTAAGTGGAGATAACCCATAGCCACTGTCATGCAGTATTTTTATATAAAAAAAATCTTCCTTTTTTTTTGTGTACCCAATATTTTCTGTGATAAAATATACATATACAAAGCATATTTATAGTAGTTGGGGAACTTTGCATTATTAATTTGCATAAATTTGTTTGTTTCATACAAATATTTTCACTATAAGAGGTGTACAAAAGTCTATTAAAAAGAGTTAAAGAAGTAATAAATTGCCTGTCAAACAGATTGTGTGAATATTCAGATTTTTATTGACTACGCCTCCTTAGATCAAATCATTATGGTATTGAATTTGTTATAGTGACCGTATAATTGACTCCTCACTGACCATTTGATATTTGTGTTCATTTCATACGGTCATTATTAGACTTGATACTGGCCATAACAGACTTTATATCTTGTTAAATATCAGCTGATATGGTCATCAATATGTTATTTAATGTGAAATTTTGTTGTTGGATACAAATGATAGCTTGGTAATTTTCCTTTTTCGTGTGAATATTTGATGGTTTGAGATGTTTATGAGTGCAGTGGGCTGTGTGAATGGAAACTGAAGTATGGACAGATTGCTTAATTGTGTCGAGTTGTGAAATTTGATTGTCTGCAATGATTTTATTTGTTGAGATATTATGATATAAAATTATTTATAAATTAAATGATACATCTTAAATTAATGTGTTCCTTTTTGTTCACTACAGCCAGTTACTGTTAATCCAGATATTGTTGGGTTCATTTATTATTGCAATTGTTTAATAATAGGAAAATACATAGGGATTAATTATTGCAATTTCCGAAAATGCTGCATACATATACTGCTTTCAAGTTTGTTATGCTAGCTTTTTAATTTTTAGCATTATATATAATATCCTATTGCAGTTTTAGCAATAACAAAAATATCTCCAAAAATTTAGAATTTATTGGTCATTTTGTATTTACAAATCATTTAATGGAACAGTAAAATTACAGTTCAAGTCAATATTTATGTTTTCAATACTTAGTAGTGTATTGGCCAATTACTGATTTGATTCTGTTTATTACACACTTTTAACACAAATTGTTTTCCTCTGCCAATTGTAGACTGGTTCTAATCCTGTAAAAATGGGCTTCTGTCCATGCAAAGCATGAAAAGTTGAAAGTGATGTATAGGCAACTGTAAAAAATAAAGAGAGTTTATATTGTTCATGTGACCCAGCTGTAGAATCTGTTTTGTTATGAATAAATGCAAATGTGGAGTATATCTAAAAAAGATTGAAACACAACAACACAACAATGACGTCTAGAAGTCAATATACTGCCTAAGGTTCAGTGGCAAATATTTCATGTATGTTCAGGAAGATATTGTGATTTGCAAAACCTTCTTGTCTGTATGATGTCATCAGGCATAGTCACCTTTTTTCATCATTTCAATTGTTAAACTAGCAGCATGGTATCAAATTTGACATTGTGATTAACTCAACCACTAATGGTTATACATATAAGTAACTTTTTAATGATGGTGTTTTTTGTTTGTTCTTTTTTTTATAAAAATTAGTAATGGTTACGTAATGTTGAATTGGCCAAAAAAATTAAGAAATATTTAAAAATCTTAGAATTTAGGAGATGATTATTCTGCAGTTAATGTCTACAATGCAGTATTTATGGATGTGGTCTGGTTATTAACATTACTTGTTACACTATAGCTAAAACATACAGAAATCCTTGCTATATGAAAATTGTCAATCCCATATGATGACCTCTACATTTGAATTTTTGGTAAAATTATATTGTTGGGTTGCTGTATCATACATTGATGTTTACCCACATCTTTTTTAGCTATTTAATGCACAGTTAAGTTCTTTCTATCATTGAAAGAAGCTATACATGTTACTGTATATGTTCTGATAGTAGCTAATATCATGTTTACAGCAATTTTGTCGACCTGAAGGTGTCTTTTGATTTTTGTAGCTCCCTCAGTAATTTCTTTGGTATTTAAAGTGAAAAGGGGATCTTGGATATAGGCAAAGGGGAGGTTTAGGTGTACGTAAAACTGGTCATATCCCTCCATATGTTGTGCCAATAGTGAATACTAACTATAAAACTATCCATAACATATGTTGTGCCAACAGTGAATACCAACTATAAAGCTATCTGTGACATATGTTGTGCCAACAGTGAATACCAACTATAAAGCTATCTTTGACATATGTTGTGCCAACAGTGAATACCAACTATAAAGCTATCTGTGACATATGTTGTGCCAACAGTGAATACCAACTATAAAGCTATCCGTGACATATGTTGTGCCAACAGTGAATTCCAACTATAAAGCTATCTGTGACATATGTTGTGCCAATAGTAAATACCAACTATAAGCTATCTGTGACATATGTTGTGCCAATAGTGAATACCAACTATAAAGCTATCAGTGACATATGTTGTGCCAATAGTAAATACCAACTATAAAGCTATCAGTGACATTTGTTGTTCCTATTTGTTTGTCTTTGTTTTATATCAATCTGTTTGGTGCAATCGGTTGTTTGTTATGGTTTGATGTACTGTCAAATATTTTTGGTAATTCCTGCTATCCATAGTATGTATTATTGAGTAATGAGATCAGTTTGTTCTGTGACTGTTCGCTGTCTTTAATTTTCTCCAAATGCTCCTATTCTTGATGACCCAACCAACTAGAAAAATTCTGAATAAAACTGAATGCAAACATTATAAATTTTTGCTTCACTTCTTCATATTTTATTGTCAATTTTTTTTTCTAACAATATCGCATTTCCACTTTATAGCTTTTTTATTTGTTTTATTGAAAAGACAAAAAATAATAATAATGTTTTATAAACTACTTAAATCTACTCATTTGTAAGAATGTTTTTGTATAACAGCACAGTAGACGATAAAATAATTCATGCCTATTTATTGCTGTGAAATCAAATAAAAGGTATGTTAGGAAACTATTGTGTTTTAACTTTGTATTCTAAGTAAAAAATATGTGATGGAAACACAATGTTTTGACTCGTTAAAAAGATGCAATGTGCCTTGAAGACATTCATTTCATTTCCTTTATATTTTAGAAACATTGAATTTGGAGGCTAGCCACAGGTTTACATATATGTGCATTTTTATTATCACTAACTAGTTGTTATAAATTTGATGTCACTTTCAGCATGATGAACAATTGCTTGATAGGTTTGCATAAGACCTGTTGTAAGAAAATTACTGTCACTACCATCTTTTTTTTTCCAATTGCAGTTCAATTCGGAGCCTTAATCCGGATTTGTTCATTTTGAGGAATTTACTCAACCTATTTATTGTTGCGTTTGTGGTTAATATTCTTAACTTGATGTATCCAAATAACAACCAATCTCCATGTAGAAGTCACTGAAAACATTTTCAGTTTTATGAAGTCTTGATTCTTAGCACTGTGAGAAGTTTTCCCCTCCTACTCCATATTTTTCTATTTTGAGTTTATCAGACAGTCTGTGTAGTAGTCCGAGGTTGCTCCGACGTCCAACGGCTGTTTTGCCAGACAAGCTAGGGCTGTGGGTCCAACGGATGTTTTGCCAGACAAGCTAGGGCCCCAGCTTGTCTGGCAAAACAGCCGTTGGATGTCAGAGCAACCTCGGACTATCTGTGTAGTTGTTGTTATAGAAGATCTTAATTCGACCATCAGATTTATTTCCTCGTTTTATCTTTTTTGTCTTCTTTTCTTACTGCTTTGTATTTGTTCACATTATAGTACACCCTGATAAAGGATATGAAAAAAAAATGTGCACTAAACTCCTTTAAAGTGATCCAAAATAAAACCAAAAACGGACGATACACTAAAACCAGATAAAACTAGTTTAACACATAGGAAATGGGTGTCATATTAAAGAAATGCACAGGTTCATGAAAATTGGAGGATAAAGATCGTTTCGGAGCACTTTGATTAATCCGGTTTGGTAAAGTCTATATAAAAATAAGCCGATGATGTGGTATGTATGATTGCCAATGAGACAACTATCCACCCATCTTCAAATGAAATGAAATGGCCTTCAACAAGGAGAAAAACCCATACCGTATAGTCGGCTAGTTTAGTTTTTAGGGTAAAGACTGCATGAAATGCATTCAAAACCCTATTGTCACTGGTTTGACAGCAATATTTTGAAAGCCTCATATCTATCATTGTTAGCAGAAAAAAATAGTGCAATGAGACGAGCTTTCATTAGATGATATCCATGAACATGTCAAGCAATTTATCAATGATATATACCCAGATAAAAAAATGTCTAGTTACAACTGATATGTATGTGTATAACCATATTTTTTTCTAGAAAACTATTTTATTGAAAATTACATAATATAAAATAAGGTGATGTGGCATTATTGCCAATGAGACAACTATCCGCCAATGTTCAAATGAATTGGATGTAAGCAATTATAGGCTACCATATGGCCTTCAACAATGAGAAAATTCCGTACTTTACAGTCGGCAATGAAAGACCCCGACATGAAAAATATGAAACAATTCAATCGAGAAAACTAGCGGTCTTATTTATAAAAAAAAAACAATTTACGAAAGACATGAACCAACGACAACCACTGGACTACAGACTCCTGACATGGGACAGGCAAATAAAGAATGTGGCGGGGTTAAACATATTTGTGAGCGCTCAACCCTCCCCTAACCTTGGACAGTGGTGATACAGCACAACAAACTATAAAAATCAGTTGAAAAGGGCTTGACTCATCAGGGCTTGACTCATCAGGGCTTGACTCATCAGATCGTTACAATGTTGACTCATCAGATCGTTACAATGCAGAAAAACATTTAACAAACACACAGACTGGACGTGAAAAGGTATTTACATCCCTAACAACAAATAAGACACAAAGTACAGATCTGAGGGTGCTCAGCAATTTTAAGCTCTGAGCGTTTCCATCGAATCATTTTGATTGTGGTAAAAATATGTTTTACTTATGTTTAAAATTGTAAAGCCCCATCAATCTGCATTGCTTCAGTTAAAATTTGTCTTTGATGACATTCAGACTAGTCTGAGGCAGATAGCAAAATGAAAATTCAGTACAGAACTCTTGGTTTTACCTGATTATTATAACATCTTTGTCTAGATTTCGTAGACTAATTTTAGCTTTTTATAATTGAAAATTTTCAAATTCAAGTATGATGTCGGTTTCATAACTTTGTTTTTTTCTTTTCTTTAACTCATTATCTCTAGGAATAGATTATAATCAAACTTGAACTCAATGCTTCGTCTTAAACGAGTGTTTGTATTACGATAAAACTTTTAGAGTAGACTATCATTAGAGTTTGCATTGCAGCTCATTTCATCATCGCCTGTCAATGTGTACAATGTAGTTGAAATTAATAAAGTCATGGATTTATCATGTTATTTTTCTAATTGTGAACAAACTGTGATATCGGTTAACGTCATTGAGGTAGTAATCGAGTAACAAATAAACAAAAAGCAGGTAGGTCTGGTATATTCTTGGTGAGTAAACGTATATGGTCCGTATCTATGACGGAGGATCCGCATATTCACATTGTTTGGAACATTAATTTACATTCAAGTTATGCCACAATAAGTCAACAATGCCACTTTAAAATCTTCGAACATATTAACAATTCGAACATTGTCGGGCGACAGTTTAGTAACTGTCGCACGATAATTTCCATCAGGAAAA